AGCAGGGCCATGTTGGTTTTGGTAGCAGGGTCACCAATTGGGATTTACCCACATTATCACATCGAAAACCACGTGAAATATTTCCTCCCAAAAGTTACATGAAAGTGACTTAAGTATTATATCAAGCAACGGCTGGTCCCCTGAAGGCTTAATTAGGGTATTCTTAGAGGCCGTTTATATATAGATTAGCCAATGACTCTTGTTACTTAGACCATGAAGTGCTAACTCATCCATCATAGCGTGTGTGTGTGTACTGGGGCATCTACTGCTTAGGTTAGGTTAGAGTTGGTTGGAAAAATTAGCTGAACTACTGATGTTGAAGTTTATATACAGAGTGATAGAAAAACCACCATAGCTTGTGTACTGAGTGAGTGAGTGAGTGAGTGAGTGATTGGTGGTGCTTGCTCTTAAATTCTATATCTTGAAGGTTTGCCTGCGTGATGAGTGATGAGTGAAGTGACCCCTAATGAATCCGTGTTGGAGGGAGTGGTAGTGGAAGTGATGACCGACCCCTAAGATCCGTGTTGAAGTGTTAAGTGGTAAGATCCGTGTTGGAGGTGGTGGTGAGTGAGTGACCCCTAAGATCCGTGTTGGAGGAGTGAGTGATCGTGCCTGAAATTCAACTCCTGGGCACCTGCACCTGGCCTGAGCCGCTAAGTCATCGTCAGTTTCAGGGCTAAATCCTAATTTAGGAGGTGTGCGGTGTGAGGAGGGAGGTGTGAGGGGTGAGGTGTGTGAGGTGTGAGGCGTGTGCGTGTGAGGAGGGAGGTGTGAGGAGGGAGGTGTGAGGAGTGAGGTGTGAGGTGTGAGGCGTAACGTGTGAGGAGGGAGGTGTGAGGGTGAGGTGTGAGGCGTGAGGTGACCCATAATCGTCCCAGCAAAGTAAAAATTAATTATTTACGCTTCCCTTTTGTATAGAAAATGTAAGTAATATCTTAGGGTAACTTAAAATACTTAAAATATTATGTTATCGATGTTGCTTTAAGTCTTCAATAAGTTGTAGTGAAAGAAATCATTGCTTGTGTTTTTGTTATGTTTTAAATATTTAATAAACACAAAGATATTAGGCAGTAGTTGCGGTTTATACACAGAAGTTTAAAACACGATTAATATTTATTCCTCCGGTTTAAAACAGAATTAAAACTTATTCACATCAATAAATATTTTCAAGATGTCAAAGGTTAAAGTTTACAAAAAAATATAAATAAATTAGTTTTCATTTTAAAATACAAAGGATTTAAAAACTTTATTGAACAAATCTCTGCACACACAGACACACACTCACACACACGTACACAGACACACTCACACACACGTACACAAACACACACTCCAACCAAGGTGTTCTCAGGCCAGGTAAGGTCCCCACCTAATGATCTCACCTGATAATGTCGCTGTTTTCAAACACATAGTGAAGATTACCTGTTGATATGTGTTTAAATGCTTGCTTCACCCCCCCCTCCCCCCTCCCTCCTCCCCCCCCCTCCCTCCCTCGTCTGTGGGTAATTAACATCCGCCATCACTCTCTTCTGGCCCTACGATCATACAGTGTTGTTGAAACAGTACCACGAACAGAACCCTTGCTAAATTATTTATTCCTTCAAAACTGATCCTAATAACCTAACCTAACCTAACTTTTTTTTGAACTAAATTAGGTGATCAGTTTGAAAAATATCTTGAGCGATAGCCCTTGTTTTTGTCATTCTATCTTGTGTTTTTGTATTATGAGGCGAATTTTTATTATTATTATTTTCAACCGGTTTTTCAAGTACGTTATTACCCTTATATTTTGTTATCTTTATTTTACAAAACCTCGTTATTCACTGACCAAATAGTCTTTTTGTTATACATTACGTTATATGATTAAGGGTGATATTCTTAGAAAGGTTTAATCTGTTTATAACCAATTGTGTGGGGGTTTTTAGGAAAGTTTTATTCTCGCAGTTTTAAAAGAATTTGGTGTGTGTGTGTGTGTGTGTGTGTGTGTGTGTGTGTGTGTGTGTGTGTGTGTGTTGTGTGTGTGTGTGTGTGTGTGTGTGTGTGTGTGTGTGTGTGTGTGTGTGTGTGTGTGTGTCGGACGTAAACATGAGTTTCCCCTTATGGTGTTGTCTTAGTAGTATAAGTATGAGAGCTTTTACACCCCTCCTCCAACACTCCTCCTCCAACCTCCTCCTCAACACCTCCTCCTCCACTCCTCAACCTCCTCCTAACTTCTAACACTTCCAACACCCCTCCTCCAACACTCCTCCAACACTCCTCCTCCAACACTCCTCCTCCAACACCCCTCTCCTCCAACACTCTTCAACACCCCCTCCTCCAACCTCCTCCTCCACTCCTCCTCCAACACTCCTCCCAACACCCCTCTCCCTTTTCCCCAATCCTCCTCCAACACTCCTCCTCCAACACTCTTCCTCACACTCCTCCAACACCTCATCCCCACTTCAGACCCTAACCAACATAAAAGAAATACTTATTCACGACACATCTTTCGACAATTTTAATCCAGTGTTGTTATTCAGAGTTGACAACACGGTATAAATATTGTAGTCCTCTTGTCCCAGAAATAATTCCCTTCGTGAGATATTTATTCAAGTGAGAATTTTTGTTTCAACCTGGTAGTTTCATCAGGAATATATATTTTGGGAAATATTTTTGATGTTATGGTAGTTTTTCATCTATTTTAAAAGTATTTATTAATATATCTGTAATACGAGCTTTGGGTATAGTTTTAAGTTTTCTGCCCGAAGGCTGAATATTGAATATACATACTTCATTAGAAAGGTAAAGGAACAGTGAACATACAGATTAATGTAGGTGTTGAACAGCAAGCTCGTAGTGTAATAACTCCCTCCCAGATGGTGTTAGGAGGGACCTCACGTGGTGTGTGTGTGTGTGTGTGTGTGTTTTTAGTGGAGAGAGATTTCAATACAACATACAGTAATAATCCATCGTTGACAGTATACCATAATAACCCATATTCCTTCTAGGAGACGATTTTTTGCATCATTTTACACCAATTATAAGCCACAAAAAAAGTTTCCATCACCTGAGCTTAAATAAACGATTCTAGTGTTATCTCTGCTTGTCTAATCCATCCTGATCTGATTCTCTGAGGCTGGGAAACTGCCATCAAGGTCTCTTCATGGTGTAGCGAGGTTGTTAATAACGAGGAAGAGACATTAACGAGGTGATTCAGGTAGTTCACATGGTTTCCGCGCTTTTGAGATGGTGGACCTGCATACAAAGCTGTTAAACATGACCTTCTTCTTCTTCTTCTTCTTCTTCTTCTTCTTCTTCTTCTTCTTCTTCTTCTTCTTCTTCTTCTTCACCTCCTGCCCACCACTTCCACCACCCCCCCCTCCTCCTCCTCCTCCTCCACCCTCATGCCTCACTATGGACGGCCCAGACTCAGTCACACCAAGGATCTGTAGAAGTCTTTGTTGAGTCTCGTCCAGCCACAGTCTTCCCCCCCATACCTTCGTCGGTTGTGTGGGCCTCAGGGTCGAGGGTGGAGGTGGGGAGAACTGTGTCCTCTGTCTGTCTGTCTGTCTGTCTTTCTGTCTGTCTGTCTGTCTGTTCTGTCTTTCTTCTCTCTGTCGCGTCTGTCACTATATTATCATTACTATAACATAAATCCTCTATGAATAACTTACTGTGTAATTGTTAGATCCTCTCTCTCTCTCTCTCTCTCTCTCTCTCTCTCTCTCTCTCTCTCTCTCTCTCTCTCTCTCTCTCTCCCTTGCAGTGGCTCTCTCAGATCTTGGCCTAGACATCTTTTTTTACTCAGGACGAACGGAATCTTAATGAGGTCCTACTGAAATAATGCTGTAATCTTGTACGCTTCACGAGTGTTCCTTGTGGGGTTTTTGGATTAACAAGGGTGTGTGGCATCTTTTATCTATTTTTAATTCTTTCACCCTCTTTTTAGTAGAACAACTTCTCCATCAACCTTTTCTTTTCCATTCCGTCACCCTTCCTTCACCACTCCATCACCTCTCCCTCACCCATTCCATCACCCTCCTCACCCATTCCATCACCCCTCCCTCACCCATTCCATCACCCCTCTCCCTACCCTTTCCATCACCCCTCCCTCACCCATTCCATCACCCTCCCTCACCATTCATCACCTCCCCCTTTCCATCACCCCTCCTCACCCTTTCCATCACCCCTCCCTCACCCATCTCACTACAAGGTCTCCCTGGCAGTGTCTCACCTGGTCTACCTGGGGCGAGATCGGTCCCAAAAATTAACACGCAAGTCATTACCATACACCTGCGCAAATCATTCCTCTTAGCACCTGTAACACTGCCTTGAACTGAAGCTGGTGTTAATATGGTGGTAGTGGTGGTGATTAGTGTTGGTGGTAGTTGTAAATGGGGGTAGTTAGTGAGATGGTATTAGTGATATGATAGTGGTAGTGAGTGAGTGGTGGTGGTAGGAGTTAGTTAGTGGTAATGAAAGTGTGATGGTTGTATTAATTAGGGTAAATCTCTCTCTCTCTCTCTCTCTCTCTCTCTCTCTCTCTTTCTCTCTCTCTTTCTCTCTTGTTTCAATCTCACCTGTGCATTTTAATTTACCTGGTGTACCTCTGTGTTTTACCTATGCATTTTAATTCACCTGTGTACCTGTGTGATTTACCTGCAATTTAATTTACCTGTTGTACCTGTGTGATTTACCTGGGAATTTTAATTTACCTGTTGTACCTGTGTGATTTACCTGTGCATTTTAATTTACCTGGTGTACCTGTGTGATTTACCTGTGCATTTTAATTTACCTGTTGTACCTGTGTGATTTACCTGTGCATTTTAATTTACCTGGTGTACCTGTGTGATTTACCTGTGCATTTTAATTTACCTGTTGTACCTGTGTGTTTTACCTGTGCATTTTAATTTACCTGGTGTACCTGTGTGATTTACCTGTGCATTTAAATTTACCTGTTGTACCTATGTGTTTTACCTGTGCATTTTAATTTACCTGTTGTACCTGTGTGTTTCAGAAGGCGAGGTCCGTTATGGGGGACTACACCGTCTTCCACGTGGTACTGTTGCTGCTCGTGTGTCTAGCAAGCACCACACTCTCAGGTAAGAGGTATTCAGGTGTGTTAGAGTGTGTTGAGGTGTACAGGTGTGTTAGAGTGTGTTGAGGTGTACAGGTGTGTTAGAGTGTGTTGAGGTGTACAGATGTGTTAGAGTGTGTTGAGGGTACAGGTGTGTTAGAGTGTGTTGAGGTGTACAGGTGTGTTAGAGTGTGTTGAGGTGTACAGGTGTGTTAGAGTGTGTTGAGGTGTTCAGTGTACAGGTGTGTTAGAGTGTGTTGAGGTGTTCAGGTGTGTTAGAGTGTGTTGAGGTTTTCAGGTGTGTTAGAGTGTGTTGAGGTGTTCAGGTGTGTTAGAGTGTGTTGAGGTGTACAGGTGTGTTAGAGTGTGTTGAGGGGTACAGGTGTGTTAGAGTGTGTTGAGGTGTTCAGGTGTGTTAGAGTGTGTTGAGGTATTCAGGTGTGTTAGAGTGTGTTGAGGTGTACAGGTGTGTTAGAGTATGTTCAGGTGTGTGTTTAGAGAACAAACACACACACTCACTCTGGGATATTGGGTTGAATACTGTGTGTTGTGGTCGTGGTATTTACTGAGTCTCAACTTGGAATCAAAATCTCAAAGTTTACTGAGAAAATCACCACAAGTTCAGATCTAAAGTGTAAGTGTAAAGTGAAAGTGTTAAGTGTTAAGTGTAAAGTGTAAAGTGTAAAGTGTAAGTGTTAGTGTAAGTATAAGTGTAAAGTGTAAGTACCTCACGTGTTGTTACTACCAAATAAGTTTCTTAGTTTGTTTTGAAATGTTAATATGAATGAAAATCGTCATAAAAACTTAATCTACCCATATGTTGTATAGTTAAGGGAGTTTAACTTAACCTAACCTAACCTAACCTAACCTAACCTAACCTAACCTAACCAAAGCTGAAGGAAGGAAGACAAGTTACTGGTACAGCTATAGGAATAGAGTTCGTCTTTGTCATGATAAAAAAAAAGGAAAAAATTTGCATCGAGTTTTGGTTGGCTGGTGGGGAGGGGAGGGGCGAAGGGGAGGAGGGGGGTTGAAGGGGGAGGGGAGGGTTGATGATGAGGGGGAGGGCAAAGGTGGGGAGGGGCAAAGGTCGTGATCCAATGCCGTGACTAACGATCGTGATCCAATGCCGTGACTAACGATACCTTAATGAAGAGGAGGACGAGGAGGAGGAGGGGTAGGGAAGAGGGAAGGAGTAGAGAGAAGAAGGAGAAAGAAGAGGAGAGAAGGAAGGAGGGATAAAGAGAATAATACTTCCACTCTCCTCTCTCTCACAACATCAAGAATCTCGTGTGAGTTTTAACACATGGACATTATGTTAAACCAGACAATAGTAGAACCTATAGTGAGGTATTATGATCCTTATATACAGAAGGCAGAAAGATCAATTTTACCTCTTGGACTTGTCATAGTATATCCTGTTAATGACCTCAATAAACCGCAACAGAATCTTAGTCAATAGAAACAGTGATTTCAGGTATTTATCCGATTAAATGCTGAGTGTGACTGAATTAAATGCTATGTGACTGGATTACTATTTCCAGTTACTTTTCCAGACAGGTAATGCTGGAATTATATCACTAACATTCACAATTCCAGTTTCCAGACAGATAATGCTGGAATTTCTTAGGTGAGACATAATGCTGGAATTTCTCTCCTAAGACTCAGTGGGTCGTAGGGAGAGACGCTCGGCTGGTTTGTTATTGTGTGAACACCGAGGAAAAATGTAGCCAATTTCTCGATTCATTGAACGTGTTTAGTAGCGAATCTGAGGCTGGCGGTCACTGGCGTTGTTTTGAGACCAAGTTAGACCCCAGGCGAAGTGACGCCAGGGTCATTGTTCACCCTAGATACCCCTCACCATCCAGTTACTCACCTGTTACTCATCTGTTACTCACTTGTTACTCATTCCTGCCTCATTTTTCTTTCATTACTCTCTCACAATTTTCTCATAACACTACCACCACCACCACCACCACCACCACCACCCTCAGCCACCACCACCACCACTCAGCCACCACCACAGTCAAGGGTGGAAGGCCAGAGAAGTGGGTACTCACTTGACTCGTCTGTCCTCTTCTCCACTCCTCTTCCTCTTCTTCATGTTTATTTTCATTTCCTCAATTTCAATCGCCTCTTCTCTCTCTCTCTCTCTCTCTCTCTCTCTCTCTCTCTCTCTCTCTCTCTCTGTTTTTGCCCATTAACACACAGTAGTACAAAGTAAACAACATAGATGGCGTTTTTGTGTCACTGTTTACTTTTGGGTGACCGGAGTTTCATCGAGACGGTTAGGTTAAGTTAGGTTATTTACCCAGTCAACCAATCAAACAACCCCATTCTGTTAGTGTTCCGTTTTTATTGGTTCTATCCGTCAGGAGGGAACGAACACGGGGGAAAAGAAAATAGTCCGAAACACTCATTCGAATCCTGGTTTATTTTGAGGTAATTTTTGGCTAGACTTCGTTTATAAGTTAGTATGGTTGGCTTTGATTGGTTCTCGCCTAGTGTGACGTCAGTTAGTAGCTGTCCAATGAGATTCTGGGTAATTCTTCAAGAATTTATGATTGGTTCGAGTTTTCAAGAGGAGGAGAAAGAGGAAGAAGAGGAGGAGAAAGAGGAAGAAGGGGAGGAGAAAGAGGAAGAAGGGGAGAAAGAGGAAGAAGGGGAGGAGAAAGAGGTGGATGAGGAGGAGGTGGTCAAACACACTGACGTCATCGTAGCCCATAACCAATCACCACACACATCATTATAGCCCATAAACCAATGAGAGAGAGTTATGGTTGCCAAGAACCAATCACAGTACATTATGACGGGCAACAAAAACAACACACACACACACACACACACAAACACACACACACACACACACACACCCACACACACACCACCCACACACACACACACACACACACACACACACACACACACACACACACACACACACACACCCACACACACACACACCCACCCACACACACACACACACACACACACACACACACACACACACACACACACACACACACACACACACACACAGGAGGATAAGTAGCACTGTCGACTGTTAGCACAAATGTGGTGAGGAATATGCAAATGAGACTAGCGTGTTTACATTAGCCGCGGCGCAAGCGTGGGAACCTTCAGGAGTCACTTGTGTGGTGGTCAAGGACGCTACTGACGGCCAGGGACGCCTATAGGAGGAACAGAAGGAGGAAGGGAAGGGAAGGGAAGGGAAGGGAAGGGAGGTAAGGAGGAGGAGGAGGAAGAGGAAGAAGTGACGAGGAGGAGGAAGGGAAGGAAGAAGAGGTAAGGACGAGGATAAATTGGAAGGGAAGGAAGGAAGAGGAGGTAAGGAGGAGGAGGAGTAGGAAGGGAAGGAAGAAAAGGTAAGGAGTAGGGTGAGAAAGAAAGAGGGGAAGGGACAGAGGGAGAGAAGGAGGGTGAGAGAGACATAGACAGAGAGAAAAAATAAATAAAGAGAAGGAGAGCAGGAAAGAGGAAGGTTCAGGGATAGATACATCGATAGATAGAGAGATGAATCGATAAGTAGATGGATAGAGGCGTGGTTCATGGCCCAGAAGGCGTGGTTCATGGCCCAAAGGCGTGGTTCATGGCCCAGAGGCGTGGTTCATGGCCCAGACATAGCCTAAAGCGACACCTGGTTTATGTCGTAACTTTTTTTTCTGTATCAGTTTCTACTAAAAGGTGATGTCTCTCTCTCTCTCTCTCTCTCTCTCTCTCTCTCTCTCTCTCTCTATCTCTCGTCAATATAACAACTAACATTCATAATTTTGTGTTTATTAAATATTGAATCATTATATTCCAACTAATTCTTACTATAACTTATCTATAATCTATATATATAATACCCTACGATGTTATTATTAAAGTTCTATGTGTCTTAACCATAAAACATCATTAGAAGATAAGTGTAATAGGAATACATTAGTCTGTGTTTAAGTCTGACTACCGTTTTCTTTGTTTGCAGCTCCCTTCACCAGCGATGTATTCCAGCAACAGCAGACAGATCTATCCGCGCTCTTCCACTCTTCTAAAGGAGGTAAGACAGGTGAGAGACAGAGATAAAGATAGAATAAGAGAGATAATGAGATAGAGAAGACAGAGAGTAAGAATGAGGCAGAGAAATAACAGATGAAGAAAATTTTTGACATATAGATAGATATTGATTGCTACACCTGTATATACTCAGTCAGATCCTCCTTCCCAGGTATGATCGGACCACTGTTTCGTCACAATGGACCACAGGATCTGGAGGTGACTACTGACGGAGGTGAGGGACTTTACCTGTGTTCTTTCCTCCCTATTCACGCCCGAACTCTGTCCCACACCCACACAATCACTCCCCAACACTCCCAACACTCCCCAATCCAACCCAGCCCTCTCCAAACTCACACAGTCACTACTTAACCGTCCCTAACCCTCCCCACCCCCACACAGTCACTCCCCAACCCTCCCCAACTCTCCCCACCCCCATACAGTCACCCCCAGCCCTCCCCCAGCCAGCTCCCAACCCTCCCACCCCCATACAGTCACCCCCAGCCCTCCCCAACCCTCCCCCACCCCATACAGTCACCCCCAGCCTCCCCCAACCCTCCCCACCCCCCACAGTCACCCCCCAACCCTCCCCACCCCACAGTCACTCCCCACCTCCCCCACCCCCACACAGTCACCCCAGCCCCTACACCCCACCACTCGTCCACTAATGTAACAAGTTGTCTTCTCGTCCCCATCTTCTATAAGCTAAAGAGTTACTGTTTTTATCTTACTAAAATCTTAAGGTAAATATTGTGATTGTTTGTGAATTGTTTATGAATTTGATTTAATGACTAGAAAGGTGTAATTTTAAGGTAATGATATTGGTATTCGTTATTGTTTAAGGACGATGGTCTTGTTATTGTGGGTCGTTCTGTCATTGTCATAAAATCCAAGCTGAAAATCCGGATTCCTTGTCTCACGAACACCTCTGGTCATTGGCCTCATGAACCACACTTTACGTTACGCTGTACACGGACCTCTACCTTTTTTTTTTATACCCATAAGTCCACAAAAAGTATGTAAATATTCTTCCCAGGATTCAACACATTACATACGACACAGCCCTCGTATTTTTCTCTCTTTTGTTCCGGTTGGTTCTATAAGTACCCTGAACTGTTTTCTTTTATATGGTGACATGATGATAACAGTGTTGGATCTCTCTTACTGTGTTCCCGGAGGCTATCAGGTCCCACACACACGTTCTTTCGATGCTCTTCTGTTTTACCCTCAGAGTTACGGCGTTTATAGAGGATTTAGGAGCGTAAATAAAGATCTTTTAGCTTCTTATGACTTTGTTTATGTTTCTGGTCAGTCGCTATGTTGTATAAGAACGATATTAAGGAGTCGTTCCTCCCTGCCATTACGTACACGAGAGGTAGAGAGAACGTACGTACATAAAGTGAGGGTAAACGTATATAACAGATGGAAAACGTACACAGAGATGCGATACAGCGAGATGTTAATTGTTCATCTTCGTCATCGTCATCATCATCATCATCATCATCATCATCATCATCATCATCATCTACTTCACTGCACCATCATCATCATCATTGTATTCATTGTTTCTTTGTCACTATACTTACAATCACAGAGTTCATTTCTCACACACACACACACACACACACACTATTGTCACCATACTAACACACCATATATCCACATTTTACCTCACCACCACTACCACCACCCTCCCTCACCCTTCACCACACACACATATCACTATCATCCCTCACCACACACATCACCATCCCTCATCACCACTCTTACCACAGTCTGGGTTTAGAACAAGGACACTTAGCTACCCCTTCTTCTTCCTCCTCCTCTCCTTCCTTCTCCTCTCCTTCCTCCTCCTCTCCTTCCCCCTCCTCCTCCTCTCCTTACATACCTGGCAGTCACCGCACCACCACCACCACCACACACCTGTTGATTAGCTTCCCTTACCTGGCGTGACTATAGACCATTGTTGTTATTGTTATTAGCAGTGTTATTGTTGGCTATGTTGTTGTTGTTGTTGTTGTTGTTGTTGTACCTTAACTAGATACGCTTAAAGAAGATGTTAACAGTGTGTGTGTCTGTATATATGTGAACAGCTAACACACACACACACACACACACACACACTCAAACACCCCCCCACAAACACTTCTCCTCCACACAAACATACCATGGGTATTGTTGACACCAGAAGTCATTGACACTAACAGCTGGGCATCACCCCTCCCCCCAGTAAGTAGAAGGAGGAGACGAAGAAGATAATGAGATGAAAATGTATGTATGTATGTATGTATGGATGTATGTATGCATGTATGTATGTATGTATGTGTCTGTATTCATATCCAACAAGACAGATAAAAGTACAAACACATCTCACAAGAAGGAAAAACAACAAAAAACAAACACAAAATCTTTTAAAAAAACAGAGAGAGAGAGAGAGAGAGAGAGAGAGAGAGAGAACAACAATAATAATAATATGTAGGGTTGTTTTGCTCTCTCTCTCTCACACTATGCAGGGGCCGGAGGGGTCAACTCAGTCACTGTCAGTACAACACCACAGCTCCCGCTAAGAGGATTTATAAACACTAGAAACGGGATCCAAAACGGTTTAGACGCTGAGCTAAAAGGGACTTGATCCCTTTAAGTAATTCTCTTCAAGATGTCACAGATTATAAACGATTGGATTAAGAGCCACTAAACACCTCTGGATTGTAAACAAGTGGTGGTGGGGGGGGGGTCTCATTGGTATTGACTTGAGGTTAAAGGGAATTTGATGAAGTTTTGCCTGATTGTATAGATGATTGAATTGTATAAGTGTAAAGATATGATTGGATTTTTTTTCTCGTGTTTATAAGGTATTGGATTCTATGTTAGTGGCTGTTTATAAGTGAAATAACTCTGATGATTCTAGAAAGTTTTTAACTCATTCTTCCTTCCCACCCTACCTCCTTCTTTCCCCCCCTCCTTCTAGAGTTTCCTCCCTCCCTCCCTCCCTCACTGAACACTCTACCTCCTTCTTTCCTTCCCTCCTTCTTGAGTTTCCTCCCTCCCTCCCGCCACTGACCACTGATGCAGCTCACGTCTTCTTGTTCCCTTACCTGTAACACCAAAGTCATAAAGGTGTCAGGTGTACCATTAAGCCTCATTAAGTGAAGGAACAACGTTAAACTCAGTATAGGAAAAAAGTGGTTTAGGATTTTTTTTTCTTTTTTTTCTTTCGTCTTTTTTTTTCGTTTTAATTTTTTTTCGTTTTTCTTTTTTTCCCGTTTTTCTTTTTTTCTTTTTTTCTTTTTTTGTTACCTGTTAATTATACCTACCTGTCTCCACTTCACCTGTGCAATGGTTGAATAAGAGGCAGACGTCCCAATAAGACCCCGGCCCTTCGTTTGTGTGTAATGGGGGAAAAAATAATACATATGTGACGTGTTGTGTTCGTCTGGCGTAAACAACTTCGTCTGACCTTTTGGCGCTCATTGTTTGTTGGGATATGTGTAGTCATCAACCCTTATAGTCATCAACTCTTGTAGTCATCGACCCTTGTAATCATCAACTCAGTCATCAACTCTGTCATCAACTGTCATCAACTCATAGTCATCAACTATCATCAACTCATAGTCATCAAGTCATCATCTCAAGTCATCGTTTTCTCTCTCTCCTGACCAGGCTGCTTCTACCAGTTCCAACACTACGATGAAGGAGACAGAATAGTAACGAATGAACCTTGTCTCAACTGCACCTGTCACAACTCTATGCTAATGTGCTACCTCAAGGTGAGTCACTGGTACCTCCTGCATTTCATCACAGTCTCATTACCTGTGATAACTTTATAGCGTTTTCCTTATATTTTTTGGTACATATAATACTGCTTACCTGGTTTTTAGTCACCGATAGTAAATAATTGTATTTTTTTTTTGTATTTTGGTGTTGTAAAGGATATTTTTCGGAATCAACTTTTATTATTATTTGTACTATTATTAATATTCTAGATTAGTTTAGCTAATCTATTTACAAAAAGGTTAAATATCATCGCGAAGGTAAATAGGTAGTGATAACAACAGCCAACAGGTGAAATAGGACTAATTAACCCCTGCTCTTTGAATTATTACAGGTGTGCCCGTTCAGTAAACCCATTGGCCAGGACTGTACGGTGGAGAAGAAGCCTAATCAATGCTGCCCCGTGATTACCTGCCCTCAAGGTGAGCCGCACCACACAGGAACACGAGAGAATGTAACGGAACACGTGTCACAGAACGGTACAGTATAGCAACACTCACTAGCACATCTAAACAAGACTGCTTTGTTGTAGCTAAACACCTGCCGCAGCTTCTAAACGCATCTGTAAACACTGCATTGACTTTACCATGTTCACAGAGATCAAGATGTGGACGACGCTTCTCAGGTGTAAACAAGCGTATGACACAACACGTAAACAAATGTAAACAACCACATGTAAACAAATAATATGACACAATACTTAAACACACGTAAACAATCACATGATACCACACGGAAACAATCACATGATACCACACGTAAACAAATATAAACAACCACACGTAAACAAACACGACACCACACGTAAACACATTATGAAGAAAATGAAACTTTGAAAACGAAAAAAAAAATAATAATTATACGTGGCTGCTAAAGTGCAGGTGAAGGAACACACACACACACACACACACACACACACACACACACACACACACACACACACACACACACACACACACATTAAATGAATACCCCGCTTTTACTGTGACTGTTCCTGCCCCCCCCCAAAAATCAACCGTAGCTCAGGTAGGACCGGAAGCCACGTGTCACACAGGTAAGGAGAGCCGCTAACGTGAGTGTGGGAAGGTGTGTCTGGCGGCGCTTATACACGGAGCGGTGAGAAATGACTGACACATTCTACACTTATATCAGAGTCTGTCATATACTATACATAACATAAATCATACTACTATACATATCAATATATATATAAAAATACAGTTAAGTTACACACACACACACACACACACACACTCACACACACACACACACACACACACACACACACACACGCACACTCTCTCTCTACTCAAACTATTGCGAGTCATGTATCAGTTATTCTGTACCTGGAAACTCTTACATTTTTGTGGCTGCGAAACACTGCCTCCCTTCATCACTTTCCCCTCAAGCACGTCGCTCTTTGGTGAATTTTGTCTCATTTATAAGACTCTTGTGGCTTTACCTTCGTTCACATTGCCTGCAGGAACGATAAGCAATGGTGTTTGTGTGTTTATGTGCATTTTGGTATAGAGGTGCCAAGGTTAAGTGCCAATATAGAGGTCATTAAATATCTAAGTTATCCTGTATGACATTTACAAGGGGCAGATTTTCTCTTAAAAGTAGTGTCATTGTAAAAAAGTTATTAGTTATTAGTTACCCTGTATGGCACCTAACTCTTAAGGCCCCAGAATGTCTCCTTAAGGGATGCCAATGCTCGTTTTAGGTGTCCGTGGAATTTGGGGATTGTAAAGGTTCAATGTTTCGGAGTTTGAGGTTCGATAAATTGGTTCGTGTCATGAATCATCTATGCTTCGGGTGATATATTTTACTGGAACTGTGTTGTGGTTCTCATGTGTTGTGGGGTATATTTTTCGTTTCTCACGGTGCACTGTAACTCTCTGGCGCCCTTGTTGTTATATGTAATTAAACGTTATTTTCTTGTAATGAGAGTTCACCCCTTGGAACGTTCTGTTACGTCTAAAACAAAAAGAATGAAAGAATGAAAATAGTAATAATAATAATAATAATAATAATAATAATAATAATAGCATCAAACCCTCACTATCACTTATCATTTTTATTAATCACGTCTTGCGAATATTTCTAAATAGAACCAAAAGATCAAGTTTACCCAAGTCTCTCCTTGTAAAATATTCGTAAAGGGACAGAAAATGTACACCATAAAATATTGTTGTTTGGTAATAATCTAGGGGTAATTTTTGATGATGGTAATGGTCATAATTAAGGGTTACCAAGACGCAAGGGGATCGCATTCCCATCTCCCTCAGGCTTACCTCCCCCCTTTCCATCACTCCTTCATTTTCCCCTCACTCCCCCCTTCCCCTCACCCTCCTTCCCTTATCCCATATAATGCCTGTCTCTTTTAAATGCCATATCTACCCCTTAGATTGCCATAGTATTCCATAAATTGCCATACCCACCCCTAAAGTGCCATACCCACACCTAAATTGCCATACCCACCACCCCCCTAAATTGCCATACCCACCCCCTAAAATGCCATGCCCACCTAGAATGCAAATATTGAACCCATAAAATTGCCATATACGTCTCCCATCAATATGCCATATCCTACCTTATAAAATGCCATACACGTGCTCAAAAATGCCATATCCTTACCCAACGCTTTAAAGTTCGTAATACCATGACTTAAAGTGCCATGTTTCTCTCTCTCTCCTCCCTACAGTGCCAGTAAACCTTCAGGTGATGCAAATGACTACGACCAGCACCACGTCTTCCCCTCTCCTCATCACTTCCTCCTCCTCCTCCTCCTCCTCCTCCGGCACCGACCTGGCGCCTTTCTACGAACACGGCTGTACCATAGAAGGCAGTTATTATCCCGACGGTGTGCAGGTGAGTTCAGCTTCATTTAAGACCCCTAACCTAACCTAACCTAAAGTTATTACAGGTAGCCTCCAAAAGTAATTATTGTCACTCTCCCCCCAAAATTTCCTCAGTATATCAGTAAGTCAGTAAACATATTCACAGTAAAAAGAAATCTATACCACTTGAGCTCATCTTGACGTACTAAACCTAACTCTTATCTCTTCTCCTCCTCCTTCTTCTTCGCCTACAGGTACCAGGAGACCCAAGAAAACCCTGTGAGCTGTGTTACTGTATCAGGAACCATACAGCGTGTGTGATGCAGGAGTGTATTCTTATGGTACCCGGTTGTGAACCCATCTTTCAGGAAGGAGTATGCTGTCCTGTGAAATACGATTGTGGTAAGTGTGTCTGTCTGTGTGTGGTAGTTAATGTTAAATGGTGTTGTTATTTTGTTATTATTTACTACTAATATCCTGGTTCATTATTCCTTATTAATTCTTTTTCTATTCAAGTTTTTTTTCCTTAACCAATAAATCATTTCCTTTGTCGAAACAGCTTAATAAATTAATATTGTTTAAGTTACCCATAAACTCAGCTGAGTGGTTTATTTATCTCCTTGCTCCTAGCTCTACCTCCTAGTTCTTCCTCAGCTGCTGGAGAGTCTCTTCCTAGCCCCGGCCAACTCCTAGCTCAGTCTCCTAGCTTTGCCTCACTCGCTGAACCGCTCCCTCCCAGCAGGCCAAGCAGCTCCTCACTCACAGCTCTCTGGAATTTCCTTCAACTGATTAACTTCGACTACTCTGAAGCTGTCCACCCAGGCATCAGTTCAGGTCCTAACCCCTCGCTTGCTTCTTCTACATGCTAAATAATACACTACATATTCGTCACATATAATACTTCACATGATGTAGTAAATATTCGACATATAAACTACATATTAATCTACATATACTAGATATTCGCTATAACTAACATATTGTAGCTACAAATATCTGCCTTAGGTGTTCTTTCATTAATTAATATCTGCCTCAGGTGTTCTTTCATTAATTAATATCTGCTTCAGGTGTTCTTTCATTAATTAATATCTACCTCAGGTGTTATTTCATTAACTAATATCTGCCTCAGGTGTTCTTTCATTAATTAATATCTGCCTTAGGTGTTCTTTCATTAATTAATATCTGCCTCAGGTGTTCTTTCAGTAATTAATATCTGCTTCAGGTGTTCTTTCATTAATTAATATCTGCCTCAGGTGTTCTTGTGTTCTCCTCTGGTTATGGAAGATCAAACAAAATCTTCCCCCGTTTTATTTCTTCATTTAATTGAAACAAAAAACGAAATACCTACTGGTGCTTTTTTTTCTTGTTTAATGAAAGAAAGTGATTATATATATTTTTTTTATTGTATTTTATTTTATTATCATCAGGTAATAAAAAACATTAAGTATATACATTAATATTATTAATATAAATTATGTTGTTTATTAATTTCTATAACTAAAGAAAGTAATACTATTTTATATATATTTTATTTTAAATCTCTGTATTACAATTACTATCATATCATAAAAAAGTATTATATCCACACTTATTTTTATTACTATAATTATCGATTTTTTTTAATTATTATCATCAGAAGTAATATAATCACACCTGTACCTTATTCACACCTGTTGCCTTATTCACACCTGTTACCTTATTTACACCTGTTGCCTTATTTATCTCTCTATGGTTATTACTATTACTAGATCATGATAAGGAAGTGAATATTTCTCTAACTTTAACCTTATCAACAGATCACGACGGAGTAGAAGAGGGTCTAGTGACTACCACAACACAGCCTATGGTGGATAGTAATGGGTCCTTGGTCCTGCCTCCTACAACCTTACCTCCTGGGTACTCTGGCTGTTACTACAAAGGGGATTTCTACGCTGACGGGGCTCTTATTCCCTCTGAGGACCCCTGCGAGCACTGTTACTGCATGAAGAGTGACCTAGTGTGTGCCATCCAGGATTGTGTGTCACCCCTCGACGAGATGCAGGAGAACTGTACAGCCAGACCTCCTCCCGAAGGCTACTGCTGCCCGCAAGCTTATGATTGTCGTGAGTACAGATAGCATTTATAAGGTTTGATGTGTATATACTACTCCAGGATAGATGGTGTAGATTAATAGTCATCTGAGAGTATAGGTGTTGATATGACCTCATCTCACCTCACCTCAGCACCTCAATACTTATTCACTTCAGAGGATACTGTCAACACACACATTTGGTCTTCACACCTCAGAAGTGCCCCTAAACACGCTCTTCTGTTATGTCTGCAGGTCATCTTAGGTATTTCAGGTCAACTCAGGTTATCTCAGGTGTACCCTGGACGCTAACCTCTGAATAGTGTTGCCAACGAGCTCATTATTGTACATTAATCTTCTCTCTTAAACAGCTGGTGAAAGCCGCAACACATGCACATAACAGTCTCTTAGTTTTAGTATTATTCCATGGGTTCCTCTTCCTGCATCTGTGCTCACAAAATTTTCATCGTCTAGTTTCACAAAGTTTTGCATCTGTGCTCACAAAATTTTCATCGTCTAGTTTCACAAAGTTTTGTACAATAAATATTTCTTGTAATTGAAGAAGTAAGAATGTACAGTCGGTTGCATTTACACCTGGTACAGTAACTGGCGCATGTTATGATATATGGAACCACTGTGTTTGTTTACATCGTATTAAAACTCCCAGTATGACCCTAAGTATCATTGCAATAGTAGCCATATTAAGGATACTAGATAAGCCTTCCACAGTAGTGCCACATCTCATAAAATGCACCAAAAACTGTATCAGGTGAAAATGCAACCGACTCTACATAACTAATTCACGTTAACCTAAAGCTTCCCAAATATTAGCATTTAAGTTATGGTATAATAAGCCTCTTACCTTAACTTAAAACATAAACTTAACACCAGTTGGAGTTAATGTTAAAAAAATCATTACTAAAATATTATCATTATTAACTTCATCTCCTAACTGTTAATTAATGAAGGAATATAATTAAGGTTAAGACTCAGTGTAACAATAACCGGACAACTTGACTTACGAGGACTATTTACCTATATATCTTACGATCTTTTGTGACTTGACTCACATCTTAAAACAAATATTTTTCTCATAAAACCTTTGACAATTAAGAAAAAATAACATTATAGTGTCAAGCCGCTTAATAATAAATTTAACTCATAAATATTATTAATTATAAGTAAAAAATAGTGTAAAGAAACCTTGTCAGAGATTCAATGGTTCAGATTCAGTGATGCGGGTTCAGTGGTTCAGATTCAGTGATGCGGGTTCAGTGGTTCGGATTCAGTGGTTCAAAGATGATTCAAAGTTGGTTCAGTTCTGTGTTTGGGGAGGTGTGTGTTTGTTTATATATGAAGGAGGTGTTTGTAGTGCGTTTACTTAGTGTCGTGGAAATGTAAACAAAATCTCAGGTGTGTTGGGGAGGTAATTTACCTGTTCAACACACCTGATAGTTTACCTAATTAAGTTTAGGTGTTTAAAGTTATTGTAATACTAATTCTTAACCCAATAAACACAGTATAATTGTCTTTCTTTTCAACATATATTCAAACACAAGTTCCCAAACACACCAAACACACCAAACACACCAAACACACACACACACACACACACACACACACACACACACACACACACACACACACACACAAACACACACACAGAGCATCGTACAAACTGTCAAACCCCGAAATAACACATTAAAACTCCTGGGTATTTTTTAACCTTCGGACATATGACTCAGGTGTGACTCAGGTGTTGTGTCTGTCAAGTGGACGATAGGGGAAAACTATTAAGGTATACAAGACTCTTACCTGCTCCCACGAGATGAGGTTAGGTTAGGTTAGATTAGGTTCGTTTCGGTTAGGTTTGATTTCGTTAAGTAAAGATACCTTTGTCAAGTAAGTCAGTTTAGGTTAGATTGGGCTTAGCTGGGCTAGGTTTTAGGTCAGGTTAGGCTAAGTAAGATTAAATTACATTATGTCAGGTCAGGTCAGGTTAGGTTAGGTTAGGTTTCATATGGCTAGAATAGATTAACCTTTAGCTTTTACGAGCGAAGGTAAAATTCTGTCGCCCTTGATAGTTTTCCTGCATCGTCCATCTTGCAGTCAGTGTTTAACAGGTGTGTAACACTTCATTACAGGTGATGGGTCAGTGTACTCACTACCCACTACCCCTCAACAGGGTGACTCCCCCCCACTCTCGGGCTGGCGGGAGGAGAGAGTCCATCTGGCTCCCGAATTCGGTGGATAACATCACACATTGTTCAGCATCCACTATTAACACCACCCAAAGCTTGCACCAGCACAAATAACTAACAAAACACCGTGAATTTATCTCCCGCTTATCCTGATTTATGTGTCAGATTTATCCCTGTCCAGCAGAGATAATCAATTCTTCAATGTTATAATCTCTTCTAAGCTTGTCTGTGTTACGCGTATCTCAGTTACGTATACCAGCTTTATTCTTATCCAGTAAAAGCTATGATTCTTACCATACACCCTCCTCCCCTACCTTACCTTAGTATGGTAGGAGAAGCAACCAAACTCTCCTTAACTCACGTGTTTAAGTTCTATTCTATCATACACACACTACGGCATCTTTACTCTTCCATCACCTCAAATCAAATCGTAAATCAAATCCCTGTTGATAGACGTGTGTTTGTTTACATGTAGTGTCGAGAGCTCCTGGGCACACCTCACACCCAGAACGCCACTCGAAGATTCAAAACATCAGTTAATTCCGTCTATCAATATGGGAGAGAAATATAATCTTCTTTTCTCCTGTAAACACTAAAAACAAAATATTCTACAAGTATCTTAAAAAAACAAGGAATAAACAATTAAAGCTGTCTACCTTGAATGTATATGCATGAGAAGATGTAAACAAGATTATGTAATTTCCATCTAAATCAACAATGCCTCCCGCAGATAAACAATGTAAACAGAATAGACTTAAATGCATTAAAAAAATAAATAAATAAATTACTTCTGAACAGGTGAGAATGTGAGACTAGACTGCAACTTATAAAATATCCTCTTGCATGTAAACCTGTCCACACCTGTCTAAATGTCTGTCTACCTGGTGAGTCTGAGTTTTGTGTATGTCTAAGGTAGTTAAACATGGCTAAAACAAAACAAAAAATACCTCCCTTTGTAAATAAGCAATTATATTTTTTAAGGTAATTTATATTTACTTAACGATCACTTAGATAACTTGGTTTAATGCATCGGAAGATATAGAGTGTGTGTGTGTGTGTGTGTGTGTGTGTGTGTGTGTGTGTGTGTGTGTGTGTGTGTGTGTGTGTGTGTGTGTAACAGGTATTTTGCATGTTGTGTATAACTGTTCAGAAGTATATTAAGTAATTTTCATTATAATCCTGTATTGAAAATTTATCCTAAAGAGAAACAGTGTCACAGATATCTTAACATTTACATTAACTGAATTTCAGATCACGTATTTCACCTTCCGCCCCTGTTCTTATTTCAATAAAGTCTTTACATGATCACCAGTAAAATATTCTTAAATCACAAAATAAGTTTATTAGGTTCTAGTAAAGGTTTCTTAAAATTGACTAATTTACTGTTCTATTTGGGGGAATTTTATCTATCATCGCCATGCATTGAGTCATGGACCTAACTGACAATCCTCCACCTTCCAGCCGAGCTAACAACAACAACTGTGGAGTACCTGACCACCACCCAGCCCAGTGAGAGTCCCGACACCCAGGTCACCGTCGCCTCCCCTGACCGACCAAGTGATGTTGATGTCCCAGCTGTTGATGAGACATCCACTGATACCCCAGCTGTTGATGAGACATCCACTGATACCCCAACTGTTGATGAGACATCCACTGATGCTCCAACTGTTGATGAGACATCCACTGATACTGCAACTATTGATGAGACATCCACTGATGTTCCAACTGTTGATGAGACATCCACTGATACCCCAACTGTTGATGAGACATCCACTGATGCTCCAACTGTTGATGAGACATCCACTGATACCCCAACTGTTGATGAGACATCCACTGATGCTCCAACTGTTGATGAGACATCCACTGATACCCCAACTGTTGATGAGACATCCACTGATGCTCCAACTGTTGATGAGACATCCACTGATACCCCAACTGTTGATGAGACATCCACTGATGCTCCAAGTGTTGATGAGACATCCACTGATGCTCCAACTGTTGATGGCATTCTGGATACCTTAACCGTTGATGGAGATATCCACTGATACTCCAAACTGGGTTGATGAGACATCCACTGATGCTCCAACTGTTGATGAGACATCCACTGATACCCCAACTGTTGATGAGACATCCACTGATACCCCAACTGTTGATGAGACATCCACTGATACCCCAATTGTTGATGAGACATCCACTGATGCTCCAACTGTTGATGAGACATCCACTGATGCTCCAACTGTTGATGAGACATCCACTGATGCTCCAACTGTTGATGAGACATCCACTGATACCCCAACTGTTGATGAGACATCCACTGATTCGCCAACTGTTGATGAGACATCCATTGATACCCCAACTGTTGATGAGACATCCACTGAGGGAACTACTGTTACTGAAGACTTCACAGAATCTATCCGTACAACAGAAGGACTTTACACAGAGTCGCCAATAGTAGAGGGCGTCACTGTTGATAAGAAACCTGCAACAGATGAGCTCCACCAGCCTACTGATACTCCAACTGTTGATGAGACATCCACTGATGCTCCAACTGTTGATGAGACATCCACTGAGGGAACTACTGTTACTGAAGACTTCACAGAATCTATCCGTACAACAGAAGGACTTTACACAGAGTCGCCAATAGTAGAGGGCGTCACTGTTGATAAGAAACCTGCAACAGATGAGCTCCACCAGCCTACTGATACTCCAACTGTTGATGAGACATCCACTGATACCCCAACTGTTGATGAGACATCCATTGATACCCCAACTGTTGGTGAGACATCCACTGATACCCCAACTGTTGGTGAGACATCCACTGATGCTCCAACTGTTGATGAGACATCCACTGATACCCCAACTGTTGGTGAGACATCCACTGATGCTCCAACTGTTGATGAGACATCCACTGATACCCCAACTGTTGGTGAGACATCCACTGATACCCCAACTGTTGATGAGACATCCACTGAGGGAACTACTGTTACTGAAGACTTCACAGAATCTATCCGTACAACAGAAGGACTTTACACAGAGTCGCCAATAGTAGAGGGCGTCACTGTTGATAAGAAACCTGCAACAGATGAGCTCCACCAGCCTACTGATACTCCAACTGTTGATGAGACATCCACTGATACTCCAACTGTTGATGAGACATCCACTGAGGGAACTACTGTTACTGAAGACTTCACAGAATCTATCCGTACAACAGAAGGACTTTACACAGAGTCGCCAATAGTAGAGGGCGTCACTGTTGATAAGAAACCTGCAACAGATGAGCTCCACCAGCCTACTGATACTCCAACTGTTGATGAGACATCCACTGATGCTCCAACTGTTGATGAGACATCCACTGATACCCCAACTGTTGATGAGACATCCACTGATGCTCCAACTGTTGATGAGACATCCACTGAAACTCCAACTGTTGATGAGACATCCACTGATACCCCAACTGTTGGTGAGACATCCACTGATGCTCCAACTGTTGATGAGACATCCACTGATACCCCAACTGCTTGGTGAGACATCAACTGTTACTCCAACTGCTGATGAGACATCCACTGATACCCCCAACCGTTGATGAGACATCCACTGTTACTCCAACTGTTGATGAGACATCCACTGATACCCCAACTGTTGATGAGACATCCACTGATACTCCAACTGTTGATGAGACATCCACTGATACTCAAACTGTTGATGAGACATCCACTGATGCTCCAACTGTTGATGAGACATCCACTGATACCCCAACTGTTGATGAGACATCCACTGATGCTCCAACTGTTGATGAGACATCCACTGATGCTCCAACTGTTGATGAGACATCCACTGATGCTCCAACTGTTGATGAGACATCCACTGATACTCCAACTGTTGATGAGACATCCACTGATACCCCAACTGTTGATGAGACATCCACTGATGCCCAACCGTTGATGAGACATCCACCGGATACCCCCAACCGTTGATGAGACATTCACTGATGCTCCAACTGTTGACAGACATCCACTGATGCTCCAAATCCGTTGATGAGACATCCACTGATACTCCCAACTGCTGATGTGACATCCACCGATGCTCCAACTGTTGATGAGACATCCACTGATACTCCCTAACTCTTGATGAGAGACATCCACTGATGTCTAACTGTTACAGACATCCACTGGATACCCCAACTCCTTGATGAGACATCTACCGATGCTCCAACTGCTGATGAGACATCCACTGATGCTCCAACCAAGCATGAGACATCCACTGATACTCCCCAAATCAAGTTGATGAGAGACATCCATCGACACTCCAACCGTTGACAGACATCCACTGATGCTCCAAACTGCTGATGAGACATCCACTGATACTCCAACTGTTGATGAGACATCCACTGATACTGCAACTGTTGATGAGACATCCACTGATACCCCAACTGCTGATGAGACATCCACTGATACCCCAACTGTTGATGAGACATCCACTGATACTCCAACAGTTGATGAGACATCCACTGATACTGCAACTGTTGATGAGGCATCCACTGATACCCCAACTGTTGATGAGACATCCACTGATGCTCCAACTGTTGATGAGACATCCACTGATACTGCAACTGTTGATGAGACATCCAGTGATACCCCAACTGCTGATGAGACATCCACTGATGCTCCAACTGTTGATGAGACATCCACTGATACTGCAACTGTTGATGAGACATCCACTGATACTGCAACTGTTGATGAGACATCCACTGATGCTCCAACTGTTGATGAGACATCCACTGATACTGCAACTGTTGATGAGACATCCACTGATACTGCAACTGTTGATGAGACATCCACTGATACTCCAACTGTTGATGAGACATCCACTGATACTGCAACTGTTGATGAGACATCCACTGATACTGCAACTATTGATGAGACATCCACTGATACTCCAACTGTTGATGAGACATCCACTGATACTCCAACTGCTGATGGGACATCCACTGATGCTCCAACTGTTGATGAGACATCCACTGATGCTCCAACTGTTGATGAGACATCCACTGATACCCCAACTGTTGATGAGACATCCACTGATGCTCCATCTGTTGACGAGACATCCACTGATGCTCCAACTGTTGATGAGACATCCACTGATGCTCCAACTGTTGATGAGACATCCACTGATACTCCAACTGGTGATGAGACATCCACTGATACCCCAACTGTTGATGAGACATCCACTGGCGTTACTCCCTCTGATGTTGATGACACTCCGAGTACTGAGGAAGCTGTTACGGAGTTTATCCACACACCTGCAGGAGGGTACACCGAGTCTTCAGTTCCTGATGGCGGGTGTAAGGCAAGAGGGGTTCTCTATGACAACAACTCTCCCGTGCCCGTGAATGATGTGTGTCAAGAGTCCTGTCAGTGTGTCGCTGGCAAGGTGAAGTGTGAATACGCGTCCTGTCCGCCCGCCCCTCCAGCCTTCCTGAGGTGCTCGTCTGTGTTGGCCGAAGGGGAATGTTGCCCTGAGTATTCATGCCGTAAGTACCTATCTTCTAACACACACACACACACACACACACACACACACACACACATACAAACATACAGTGTAGCGTTTTTATTATAAATTCTCTTGTTCATAGACTCCAACATAGTCAAAATATCCCCAATATTTCCACTAAACCTTAACTCTCATATCTCGACCTTAAAGAAAATAAACTAATAGGTAATTGGAGTACTGTTTCTGTTAGCTTTTATTTATATTGATAATTTTGCTCAACGAATTATGGCTTTTTCAGCTCCGATTGAGACAGAGGTGACGGAGATGCCTGCTGGATGTGTGTATGACGATATCCAGTATTACGAAGGTGAATACATACCTCAGTCTGACTACTGTGTCGACTGTTACTGCCTGGGTGGGGAGACGATCTGTGCTTACGTGGAGTGCCCCCCGCCTGCTGGCCACAACTGCAAGCCTACCCAAGTGCCTGGGGGTGAATGCTGCCCAGTTAAATACGACTGTGGTAAGTTTTATAAGTTCAGACAGTCTCCAGTACTAACATGCCCCAACCTTACCTAACCTCATAGTCTACCAATCGTAATATGACCCCAACTTTAACCTAACCATTTCTAATCTAATGAAACCAAGCCTAATCCAGCCAAATGTAACAAAACCCAACCTAACCTAACCTAACGTAATCCGAGTTGGCCATTAGGAATAGGCCCCTTTACTAATTTTATCTTTTAGGACTGAGACTTAATCCTAATGTTTAAGTTAGGTTAGATGGAGGGAGGACAGAGCCTTTAAAGAGTAGGCGGATGGACAAGGTCGCTTAGAGATCTTATAGAATATTTTAAATCAAGTAAAACGACAACATAAGAACCATGTTTATTATCTTCTGTTATTGAAAAGACGTCAATGATAGCACACAAAGATAGTTCATAGCAACAAAAACTCAGTATCATCTTTCCTTTTCGTAGATGTGATCGACACGGCAGATTTGCTCTCGGACAATACTACCACACACCCAGGCGCCACCACACCCTCAACAAGTCAGCAGCCTGATGGCGACACACTACCAACGGACTCCACAGATACGGCTGTTGAGACGCCCGTGACCCAGCCCTCAGTCATCACCGGCGGCCCAAGTGTAGGAACTACATCTTCAACGGAGGGACCAGAGGTGACGGGCCCTGTGATACCTCTGGAGACGAGAACCACAGCTCCAGATGACAACAATATACTCACTACTCCTATGACCTTCGTAACGGAGAAAGGATCGTCGTCCCTCCCTGATGCTGTAACAGAAATTGGCAGTGAGACCTCAGCCACGGAAGTGCCTTCTACTGGTGAACCCACTGTTGTCTCCACTACCGATGAGACATCCACTGATACTCCAACTGTTGATGAGACATCCACTGACTGATGAGACATCCACTGATACTCCAACTGTTGATGAGACATCCACTGATACTCCAACTGTTGATGAGACATCCACTGAAACCCCAACTGTTGATGAGACATCCACTGAAACAGCACCAAAGGAAGTGACGTCATCCACTCTTGAAGGAGAGGTCACCACAGAAGGAGGATTACATCAACCGGAAGTGGGAGTTCCTGGTGAAGGAAAATGTATCCAAAAGGGCATTACCTACGACAACGGCGCCCTGGTCCCCAATGCCATACCCTGTCACAAATCCTGCATGTGTGAGAACAGTATTATTGCTTGTACCCTGAAGGCTTGTCCAGCACCTCCTCCCACCTTCCTACGCTGCCAGCCCCAGCAAGACCCTGAGCAATGCTGCCCTTCGTATGACTGTCGTAAGTTTTATGTGTATCTTCTATAACAACCTCCATGTTTTTCAGATACCTTTCCTTTTATATAGTGATTTGGACACCAAGTTTCGATTATATTGCTTTAATTATTGAATACACAGTCAATCAAAATAAAAGATACAATGTTTATGTTATGTTATAAAAAATAATAATGTTACCACAACTACAGCTATCTTGGAGCCAGAAGCCACACCCTCACCCGGCTGTGTTCGTGACGGCGTCCAGTTCTTAGAGGAAGACCATATCCCCAGCTCAGACATGTGCACTGACTGTTACTGTCTGGGAGGCGAGATAATCTGTGCCACCTTAGAGTGTCCTCCTCCGACTGGCACTAACTGTAAACCAGTTATACAGTCTTCAGGAACCTGCTGCCCAGAGGAGTACCAGTGTGGTAAGTGTCATAATAGAGAACGTTTCCCTACATAATGGATAACAGCCATGAGGAATTTACTCGGTTTTACTGATAACATTACAACTTCAGTGTTTTCTGAGCCTCTAATGATTCCTATTTCAAGTAGCTTTGACAACAATTTCATTTTATCCCATTTACTGAACACCATTACAGTTTTGGTTGAAGATAGATACATTAAGACTTTTTCTTTGCTCTTAAGTGAATAAGAAACTCACTGCAAAAAGATCTTATATTGACCAATGGAACTTTTTGTGTTGAGAATAAAGGAAAACTATTGATACAAATCTAACTGTGCAACATTTTCAGACATGGAAGAAGTTCCTGAGACATCCACTGATGTCTCAAATGTAACTGTTGAAACATCCACTGAAGTTGCAGACAAGGAAATGACCACTGAGCCCTCCCCAACCTCTGGCACGGAGCAGCTAGAAGAAGGATATTGTCTTTACCATGGTGCCGCTGTTGCTAATGGCGCCTCGATCCCCACTGAGTTACCTTGTCAAAAGTCCTGCACTTGTGTGAACCAGTTAATTGAATGTACCTTGAAGGCTTGTCCATCACCGCCTCCTGCCTTCCTCCGCTGCCAGCCGCTCCAAGACCCTGAGCAGTGCTGTCCTTCATATGACTGCCGTGAGTTTTAACTTATTACAATAGTGTATATCACTCCAGAATAAATTAATTTATTTTAATAACATTGTTGTATACTACTAAAGGAGTCTTTTTCTTTGAATAACATATTTTACAATTCATAATGATATTCATTTGATAAATGAGATTTGATTTACGATTATTCGATTTGTGATCATTTTATTTATGATATGGTCTTCAGGAACGAACCCTAAACATTTATTGAGGTACACGTGTATTATTTGGAATTAATATAGTATACCATTAGGTTCACCTCCCTTTACTGAGTGAAATAAGTAGTTTATGTATAGTATAACCTTCCTTTGTGGATTGAGTAAACAGACCATAACAGACAAAAAGATATGTATGTGTATGTTATGTTAAAAAAAAAAACTGTTACAGCTGCTCCAGAGCCAGAAGCCACATCACCACCCGGGTGCTTCAGTGACGGCGTCCAGTTCTTAGAGGAAGACCATATCCCCAGCTCAGACGTGTGCACTGACTGTTACTGTCTGGGAGGCGAGATAATCTGTGCCACCTTAGAGTGTCCTCCTCCGACTGGCACTAACTGTAAACCAGTTATACAGTCTTCAGGAACCTGCTGCCCAGAGGAGTACCAGTGTGGTAAGTGTCATAATAGAGAACGTTTCCCTACATAATGGATAACAGCCATGAGGAATTTACTCGGTTTTACTGATAACATTACAATTTCAGTGTTTTCTGAGCCTCTAATGATTCCTATTTCAAGTAGCTTTGACAACAATTTCATTTTATCCCATTTACTGAACACCATTACAGTTTTGGTTGAAGATAGATACATTAAGACTTTTTTCTTTGCTCTTAAGTGAATAAGAAACTCACTGCAAAATAAAAAGATCTTATATTGACCAATGGAACTTTTTGTGTTGAGAATAAAGGAAAACTATTGATACAAATCTAACTGTGCAACATTTTCAGACATGGAAGAAGTTCCTGAGACATCCACTGATGTCTCAAATGTAACTGTTGAAACATCCACTGAAGTTGCAGACAAGGAAATGACCACTGAGCCCTCCCCAACCTCTGGCACGGAGCAGCTAGAAGAAGGATATTGTCTTTACCATGGTGCCGCTGTTGCTAATGGCGCCTCGATCCCCACTGAGTTACCTTGTCAAAAGTCCTGCACTTGTGTGAACCAGTTAATTGAATGTACCTTGAAGGCTTGTCCATCACCGCCTCCTGCCTTCCTCCGCTGCCAGCCGCTCCAAGACCCTGAGCAGTGCTGTCCTTCATATGACTGCCGTGAGTTTTAACTTATTACAGTAGTGTATATCACTCCAGAATAAATATACTTCATGTGATTACATTGTTGTTCACTGCCAGAGGAGACTTCGAAGAACATATTTCACAATTCATAATGATATTCAATTGATAAACAGGGTTTCATTTACGAGTATTCGATTTACGATAGGGTCGTCAGTTACACAAACCAACCACTAATCGAGGAATCCTTGTATTATACCATTAGGTTTTCCTTCCTTTCATGAAATAAGGAGGTAATTTTCCCTTACATGTTGAATGAACAGTTCATAACAAATTAAAGTTTTCCATGTTTATGTTTTGTTAAAATTAAATAATAATGTTATCACTACTACAGCTACAGCAGAGCCAGAAGCCACACCCTCACCTGGCTGTATTCGTGGCGGCGTCCAGTACTTTGAAGATGAATATGTACCCAGCTCAGACGTGTGCAGTGACTGTTACTGTTTGGGAGGCGAGATAATCTGTGCCACCTTAGAGTGTCCTCCTCCGACTGGCACTAACTGTAAACCAGTTATACAGTCTACAGGAACCTGCTGCCCAGAGGAGTACCAGTGTGGTAAGTGTCATAATAGAGAACGTTTCCCTACATAATGGATAACAGCCATGAGGAATTTACTCGGTTTTACTGATAACATTACAATTTCAGTGTTTGAGCCTCTAATGATTCCTATTTCAAGTAGCTTTGACAACAATTTCAATCCCATTTACTGAACACCATTACAGTTTTTGAAGATAGATACATTAAGACTTTTTTCTTTGCTCTTAGTGAATAAGAAACTCACTGCAAAATAAAGATCTTATATTGACCAATGGAACTTTTTGTGTTGAGAATAAAGGAAAACTATTGATACAAATCTAACTGTGCAACATTTTCAGACATGGAAGAAGTTCCTGAGACATCCACTGATGTCTCAAATGTAACTGTTGAAACATCCACTGAAGTTGTAGACAAGAAATGACCACTGAGCCCTCCCCAACCTGCACGAGCAGCTAGAAGAAGGATACTGTCTTTACCATGGTGCCGCTGTTGCAATGGCGCCTCGATCCCCACTGAGTTACCTTGTCAAAAGTCCTGCACTTGTGTGAACCAGTTAATTGAATGTACCTTGAAGGCTTGTCCATCACCGCCTCCTGCCTTCCTCCGCCAAGACCCTGAGCAGTGCTGTCCTTCATATGACTGCCGTGAGTTTTAACTTATTACAGTAGTGTATATCACCCAGAATAAATATACTTCAGATTATTATTGTTGTTCACTGCCAGAGGAGACTTCGAAGAACATATTCAATTCATAATGATATTCAATTGATAAACAGGGTTTCATTTACGAGTATTCGATTTACGATAGGGTCGTCAGTTACACAAACCAACCACTAATCGAGAATCCTTGTATTATACCATTAGGTTTTCTTCCTTTCATGAAATAAGGAGGGTAATTTTCCTTATATGTTGAATGAACAGTTCATAACAAATTAAAGTTTTCCATGTTTATGTTTTGTTAAAATTAAATAATAATGTTATCACTACTACAGCTACAGCAGAGCCAGAAGCCACACCCTCACCTGGCTGTATTCGTGGCGGCGTCCAGTACTTTGAAGATGAATATGTACCCAGCTCAGACGTGTGCAGTGACTGTTACTGTCTGGGAGGCGAGATAATCTGTGCCACCTTAGAGTGTCCTCCTCCGACTGGCACTAACTGTAAACCAGTTATACAGTCTACAGGAACCTGCTGTCCAGAAGAATATGACTGTGGTAAGCAGTTTGGTAGAGTAAAGTTCTTACATTTTACTAGATAATGTTATTTATTCAGCACCTTAAACTTGAAGAAATATAGAAATTATTTTTAAGTTTATCTAATCAGTTTATTCATTACATTTCCAGTCATGTCCAGTAAACTTTTTTGGGGTATTGTATTTGTTTTCTTACATCACATTTGGTTGGGTTAGATAAGGTTACCTCAGGTACCTTAAGTAAACTTAAACCTAAAACCCTCAATCTGTCGAGTACAGCATGACTCTACAGGATGTGTACTAGTGACTTAATTGTACTGATGTATTGTATTTCAGTGGTGGAACTACCAAGTGAAGAAGGAGCAGTCACCAGTGCCACAACTGAAGGGCTAGGAGCAGTCACCAGTGCCACAACTGAAGAAGGAGGCGGTGCATCAGTGCCCCAACTGACGAAGGTGCAGCCGCCAGTGCCCCAACCGACGAAGGAGTAGTCAGCTGCGTGCCCCAACTGACGAAGGAGCAGTCACAAGTGTCCAAATCGATTTAGAAGGAGCAGTCAACAAAAAGTTACTAACCGACGATGGTGAAAGCCCAGTGCCCCAACCAGACGAAGGTTACAGAGTCACAAGTGCCCCAACTGACGAAGGAGCAGTCACAAGTGCCCCAACTGACGAAGGAGCAGTCACCAGTGCCCTAACTGACGATGGTGTAGCCATCACCAGTGCCCCAACTGACGATGGTGTGCAGTCACCAGTGCCCCAACTGACGAAGGTGCAGTCAAAATACCAGTGTCCAACAGACGAAGGAGCAGTCACCAGTGCCCCTGACCGACGAAGGTGCAGTCACCAGTGCCCCAACTGACGGCAGTCATCAGTGCCCAACTGACGAAGGAGCAGTCACCAGCCCTGTGGAACAGACGAAGGAGCAGCCCGCTGCGCCCTAACTGACGAAGGAGCAGTCACCAGTGCCCCAACTGACGAAGGTGCAGCCGCTTCAGTTCCCCAACCGACGAAGCGTGCAATCACCAGTGCCCCAACTGACGAAGGAGCAGTCACCAGTGCCTCCAAATCAGACGAAGGAGCAGTCAATGCCAGTGCCCCAACCGACGCAGCTGTTCAGTCACCAGTGCCCCAACTGAACAGCGTGCAGCCACCAGTGCCCCAGCCCGACGAAGGTGCAGTCACCAGTGTTCCCAACTGACGAAGGAGCAGTCACCAGCCCTTCAACTGACGAAGGAGCAGTCACCAGTGCCCAATCCGACGAAGGAGCAGTCACCAGTGCCCCAACTGACGAAGGTGCAGTCACCAGTGGTCCAATCCGACGAAGGTGCAGTCACCAGTGCCCTTAACTGACGAAGGTGCAGTCACCAGTGCCCACTGATGAGCAGTAGCCGCCAGCCCCAACTGACGGTGCCGTCACCAGTGCCCAACCAAGACGAGCGCCAGTGCCCAACTGAGAAGGCTGTGGCGTCACCAGTTTAGCGCCAAAAGCCCAACTGTCGAGAAAGTCAGTGTCCAACTCGACGAATACCAGCCCAACCGAAGGCGGAGAATCATCAGTGCCACCGACGAAGCGTAGTCACCAGTGTCCTAACCGAGAAGGGTGCAAATACCGCCCAGTGTCCCAACCAGACGAAGTTGAGCACCCACCAGTGCCCAACTGACGAAGGTGCAGTCACTTCCAGTGTCCGCCAACTGACGAAGGTGCAGCCGTACCAGTGCCCCAACTGACGAAGGAGCAGTGCAACCAAAAAGCCCAACCAGACGCGCAAGGAGCAGTCACCAGTGCCCTGTAAACAGACGAAAGAGCAGTCACCAGCGTTCAACTGACGAAGGTGTAGCCAGTGCCCCAACAGCAGCTCACCACGCCAGTGCCCCAACTGATGAAGGAGCAGTCGCCCCAACAGACGAAGCGTAGTCAAATGCGCCCCAAACTGACGAAGGAGCAGTCACCAATCTGACGATTTGGGCAGTCACCAGTGCCCAACCGACGAAGGTGCAGTCACCAGTGCCCCAACCGACGAAGGAGAAAAAGCTTCACCAGTGCCCCAACTGACGAAGGAGCAGTCAGCCAGCCCCAACCCGACGAAGGTGCAGTCACCAGTGCCCCAACTTTCGACGAAGGTGCAGTCAACAGTTCTAACTGACGCCAGGTGCAGTCACCAGTGCGCCCGCACCTGTGTAAATAGGTTGTGCTACCAGTGCCCCAAATTGACGAAGGGTGTAGTCAACAGTGCCTTAACAGACGAAGGAGCGTCACCAGTTCAACCGACGAAGGAGCAGCTCAGTTCAACTGACGAAGGAGCAGTCACCAGTGCCCCAACTGACGAAGGTAGCAGTCACCAGTGCCCCCAACTGACGAAGGTGCAGTTACCAGTGCCCCAACTGATGAAGGAGCAGTCACCAGCGTCCCAACTGACGAAGGAGCAGTAAATCAGTTCCCCAACCGACGAAGGAGCAGTCACCAGTGCCCCCAACTGGTCAAGCGAGTGGTCACCAAAGTGCCCCAACTGACGTTAGCTGAGCACAACCAGTGCGCCAACTGACGAAGGGAGCAGTCACGCCGCGCCCCAACTGACGATGGTGCAGTCACCAGTGCCCAATCAACCGGACGAAGGAGCAGTCACTGCGCCCCATCTGACGCCAGGCGCAGTAGCGCCACCAGTGCCCCAACCGGCTTAGCGAAAGTTGTAAATCACCAGTGCCCCAACTGACGAAGGTGCAGTCACCAGTGCCCCAACTGCGACGAAGGTGTAGTCACCAGTGCCTCCAACTGACGAAGGAGCAGTCACCAGGTATCCAACTTCGACGAAGGAGCAGTCACCAGTGGGTCCAACTGACGAGAAGAGCAGTCACCAGTGCCCTAACTGACGAAGGAGTAGTCACCAGTGCCCCAACTGACGGCTGAGTGTCACCAGTGCCCTAATCAGACGAAGGCGAGCAGTGCCTGAAGTACCCCAACTGACGAAGGAGAAATACCAGTGCGCTCCCCAACCGACGAAGGAAAGCAGTCACCATTTCCAACTGACGAAGGTCACCGCCAGTGCCCCACCACGGACGAAGGGAGCAGTCACCAGTGCCCAACTGGACGAAGGTGAGTAGTCACCAGTGCCCCAACTGACGAAGGAGTGTGTCACCAGTGCCCCAACTGGACGAAGGAGCAGGTCACCAGTGCCCCAACTGACGAAGGAGCAGTCAGCCTTCCCAACTGACGAAGGCAGTCACCAGTGCCCCAACTGACGAAGGGAGCAGCCACCAGTGCCCCAACTGACGAAGCGAGCGGGTCACCAGTGCCCCAACAGACGAAGGAGCAGTCAACAGTAAACCCCAACTGTTTATGAGCAGTCACCGCGCCCTCCAACTGGACGAAGGAGGCAGTCACCAGCCCCAATCTGACGAAGGTGTAATACCAGTGCTCCAACTGACGCATGAGCAGCCGCTTCATTTCAACTGTGACGAAGGTAGTCACGAAAGTCTCCCAACCGACGATGTGCAGTCACCAGTGCCCCGCACCGACGAAGGAGCAGGTCACCAGTGGTCCAACTGACGAAGGAGAAGTCACCAGTGCCTCAACCGACGAAGCGTGCAGTCACCAGTGCCCCTGACCCGGAGCCTAAAGGTGCAGTCACCAGTGCCTCCCAACTGACGAAGGAGCAGTCAACAGTGCCCCAACTGACGAAGGAGCAGTCACCAGTGCCCCAACTGACGAAGGTGCAGTCACCAGTGCCTCTAACTGACGAAGGTGCAGTCACCAGTGTCCCAAACAGACGAAGGAGCAGTGCAACCAGTGCCCCAACCGACGAAGGAGCAGTCACCAGTAAAAGTCTCAACTGACGAAGTGAGCAGTAAAACCAGGCCCCAACTGACGAAGCGTGAGCAGTCACCAGTGCCCCAACAGGATTAGCGAGCAGCTCACCAGTGCCCCAACTGACGAAGGAGCAGGTGCCCGGCCAAAGTGCCCCAACCGACGAAGGAGCAGTCACCAGTGCCCCAATCCGACGAAGGAGCAGTCAACAGTGCCCCAACTGACGAAGGAGCAGTCACCAGTGCCCCAACTGACGCTGCAGCGTCACCGCCATTGCCTAACGAAGGCGCAGTTGCCGAGGCCCAACTGACGAAGGTGCAGTCACCAGCCCCAACTGACGAAGCGAGCAGTCACCAGTGGCCCAACAGACGGTACCAGTGCCTTCCCAACTGCGACGAAGGTGCAGTCACCAGTGCCCCAATCTGATTTGCTGCAGTCACCAGTGCCTCAATCCGACGAAGGTGCAGTCACCAGTGCCCCAACTGACGAAGGTGCAGTCACCAGTGCCCCCAACTGATGAAGGTGAGCAGTCACCAGTGCTCCAACTGACGAAGGAGTAGTCACCGCCAGTGCCCCAACCGACGAAGGAAAGAGTCACCAGTGCCCCAACTGACGAAGAGCAGTCACCAAAGCTCCCAACTGACGACGAAGTAGTCACCATGCCCAACTGACGAAGCGAGCAGTCACCAGTGCCCCACCACGAAGGAGTAGTCATCAGTGCCCCCAAATTGATAGAAGGAGTAGTCAACAGTGGTCCAACTGACGAAGGAAAGAGTCACCAGTGCCCCACCGACGAAGGAGCAGTCAAATACCAGTGCCCCAACCGATGAAGGTGCAGTCACCAGTGCTCCCAACCAGATTAAGGAGCAGTCACCAGTGCCCCAACTGACGAAGGAGTAGTCACCAGTGCTTCCCAACTGATGAAGCGGAGCAGTCACCAGTGCCCCAACTGACGAAGGAGCAGTCACCAGTGCCCCCAAATCAGACGAAGGTGCAGTCACCAGTACCAACTAGATGAAGGAGCAGTCACCAGTGCCCCAACTGACGAAGGTGCAGTCACCAGTGCCCCAACTGATGAAGGAGCAGTCACCAGTGCCCCAACTGACGAAGGAGTAGTCACCAGTGCCCCAACTGATGAAGGAGCAGTCACCAGTGCCCCAACTGATGAAGGAGCAGTCACCAGTGCCCCAACTGACGAAGGAGTAGTCACCAGTGCCCCAACCTACCCTGATACAACCATAAAGCCTATTGATGAAGCTATTGGCCTGGTGGATCCTGGTGTTGACATCGCGGACAGTTGTGTGAGTCAGGGTAACCTATATGTGGACGGAGAGAGCGTCCCCACAGTAGTACCCTGTCAGACAGAGTGTATCTGTCACAACGGTACTGTTCACTGTCAGCAGCTCTCGTGTCCGTCTCCTCCCCAGGCCTTCCTGCAGTGTTCCGTGGTGCCTTCCGTGGATCAGTGCTGCCCCACTTACAATTGTCGTAAGTTAAACGTAACAACTAATGAGCAATATATTGTTCATTATTTTACTTATATATGAAAGATATATGTAAAGTATATGTAAAATATATGTATTTAGAATATTTGTTCAGTAAATTAAATTTTAATGAGATTTCTGTGTTATAACAAACTTAGATATTAACAACAATATTTACATTCTCTGTTCTTTCCTTTCAGCTGAGACGGACGGTGAAGCCTCGTCGTGTATCTCTACTAATGGTAACTGGTACAAACACGGAGATTATGTTCCTTCAGACTCTGAGTGTTCTGATTGTTTCTGTTCAGATGGAGAGATCGTGTGCGCCTCGCTCGAGTGTGTGTCCCCTGGGCCCAACTGCGTGGCGCTGCCGGCTCCTGCTGGTAGCTGCTGCCCCGTCCAGTATGATTGCTGTAAGTTGTTTATCTTTATATTGGTCTTGTTGTTCATACCTGACTGTACCAGTGGCGAAATTACAGTACACACTAGTGCAGATACAGGTACAAGTACAAGTACAGGTAGACATGCAAGTAAAATTTTAGGTACATTTACAAATACAATACAGGTATAGGCGAAGTGTCATTGCAGATGCTGATACAAATACAAGTGCAGTTTCAAGTTCAATTACAAGTACTATTACAGCTATAAATACAAGTTCAGGTTAAAATACAGATACAAGTAGCAACAGTCCATGTTTATATTATGCCTCATCATGTTGCCTCTGGTGGTAGTTCTTGTGGACATGTAACACAGCTTGCATCTGTCTGTATGTTAAGAGGAACACCCCAGTACAGTACTAAGAGTGAGAGAGGACAGACCTGACGAGGGATAATGTTTGTTACAGGGAAGAGAAAATAATCATAGGACTTGTTTTAACTGAAGATAATTTTGTTTCTAAATCAAATCCAAAGTTGTAAGAATATTTGTATTTGTAAATGACGTAAAATAATATCAAAACATTTTATCATTTCAGTGGAAGTTCCTGCCAGCTCAGTCACGGATGTCATCACCCCCATAGGCGCCTCTGCTACAGACAGTTCCGGAACAGGAGTGACAGAATCTACAACATCCAATATCACTTCTTCCACCACCGTATACCCGTCCCTTTCCCCTACCGCGGAGACCGAAGATAAGGAACAGGATTACGTTACCGAGGTGACGTTGACTACCGAAGACCCGAGTGGCGTCAGTGAGGATGGTGATTCCGAGGCTCCTGAAGGTACCGACCATTACTCCACCCCCTCGTCAATGCCCACTGTCGACGGTACCGACAGCGTAATTACTGAGGCCTCCGTCGCTACCGATGGCTTGGACATTACCGAGGTACCGAGTGTTACCGTATCCTCCCTCTACACTGAACCTGTCAGCACTGGCGACTCATTGGTGACTGACGCTTCTGTAAGTACTGACAGTACCTCAGACGACGAAATTAGTACTGGCAGCGTCACTGAGCCCTCGGGAACTACCGAGAAGGGAGAGACGACTCAGGGTGCCACTACTGAATCAGTGACGTCAGTGAGTGTCAGCGAGTCAAGCACGCCTGAGGTAACACCGTCGACCACATCACCAGCTGTGGCACCTGAGGAAGGAGTGACCACATCACCAGCTGTGGCACCTGAGGAAGGAGTGACCACATCACCAGCTGTGGCACCTGAGGAAGGAGTGACCACATCACCAGCTGTGACACCTGAGGAAGGAGTGACCACATCACCAGCTGTGGCACCTGAGGAAGGAGTGACCACAAATCAGCCAGACACTCTGAGAAGGAGGACTACATCAACAGCTGTGACACTCTGAGAAGGAGTGACCACATCACCAGCTGTGGCACCTGGAGGAAGGAGTGACCACATCACCAGCCAGACACTCTGAGGAAGGAGGACCACATCACCAGCTGTGGCACCTGGAGGAAGGAGTGACCACATCATCAGCTGTGACACCTGAGGAAGGAGTGACCATCACCAGCTGTAGACACCTGGAGGAAGGAGTGACCACATCACCAGCTGTGATGCCACCCTGGAGGAAGGAGAGGACCACATCACCAGCTGTGACACCTGGAGGAAGGAGTAACCACATCACCAGGCTGTGGCACTCTGGAGGAAGAAGTGACCATCACCAGCTGTGGCACCTGAGGAAGGAGGACTACATCACCAGCCAGACACCTGAGGAAGGAGTGACCACATCACCAGCTGTTACACCTGAGGAAGGGAGTGACTACATCACCAGCTGTGACACCTGGAGGAAGGAGTGCGACTACATCACCAGCTGTGACACCTGAGGAAGGAGGACTACATCACCAGCTGTGACACCTGAGGAAGGAGTGACTTCACGTCATCAGCTGTGACACCTGAGGAAGGAGTGACCACATCACCAGCTGTGACACCTGAGGAAGGAGTGACCACATCACCAGCTGTGACACCTGAGGAAGGAGTGACCACATCACCAGCTGTGACACCTGAGGAAGGAGTGACCACATCATCAGCTGTGACACCTGAGGAAGGAGTGACCACATCATCAGCTGTGACACCTGAGGAAGGAGTGACCACATCACCAGCTGTGACACCTGAGGAAGGAGTGACCACATCACCAGCTGTGACACCTGAGGAAGGAGTGACCACATCACCAGCTGTGACACCTGAGGAAGGAGTGACCACATCATCAGCTGCTGACACCTGAGGAAGGAGTGACCACATCACCAACTGTGACACCTGAGGAAGGAGTGACCACATCACCAGCTGTGACACCTGAGGAAGGAGTGACCACATCACCAGCTGTGACACCTGAGGAAGGAGTGACCACATCACCAGCTGTGACACCTGAGGAAGGAGTGACCACATCATCAGCTGTGACACCTGAGGAAGGAGTGACCACATCATCAGCTGTGACACCTGAGGAAGGAGTGACCATATCATCAGCTGTGACACCTGAGGAAGGAGTGACCACATCACCACCTGAGGAAGGAGTGACCACATCACCAGCTGTTACAGTCACCGAGTCTTCTGGTAAGACCTCCGTCTCGACAGAGTCAACTATCGCCGGGTACGTGACAGAAGCCACCGTCGCCGTGACCACAGCTGATGACGTCGACGACACTGAGAGTACCAGAGAGACGGTAGCTCTGCCCGATGTGTCTCTCTCTACAGAAAAACCCGGAACTACCGAGACAGCTGATAAGGAACCCGGAACACTTGTAGAAACTGAAGAACCTAAAGCACCTGAAGACGGCGCCGGCACAGACAGTTCTATAACATCCTCGATCAGTACCTCCTCTACAGAAGCTGCCGTAACCCAGGGCCTCGTCACCGGTTTCGATCACCAATTCCCCATTTACCCCGGAGCTTTGACCACCACGCAGGCTCCCTGGACGCCCTCCACCACCACGGAGATCCTCTATGGTCCGGGCGCCTGTTTGTTTGATGGCAAGGTGTACGTGTCGGCCCAGCAGATCCCTCGTGACGACCCATGTGACTTCTGCTTCTGCTTCCGCGGAGACATCATCTGCTTACAACAGTCCTGCCCATCACCCATCCCCGGCTGTTACGAGGAAGCCATTGCTGGTTTCTGCTGCCCACGCTATGAATGCCCCGTCCCTCATGCCGTGGTCAACATCACTACCACCACAACACCCATACCCACATACCCGCCCGTCCAAACCATCCAGGAAGTAGTCATGTGTGAGATTGGTGACCGATACTACCACAGCGGGGAGATGGTTGAGGAAGCGTCAGGACCTTGTCTCGAGTGCAGGTCAGTTTTGTGACGAGTTAGTTTGTACACATAAGGCGTTTGGTGTAGCATTTGTGAGACTTATGTTTCATATTAACGTTTATTTTGCTCTAACAAGTAAATAATTTCCTTAATTTAATGTAAGAATCTTTATTATTATTATTATTATTATTATTATTATTATTATTTTTATTATTATTATTATTATTATTATTATTATTATTATTATTATTATAATTATTATTATTATTATTATTATTACAGGTGTGGTAACGACGGGATGATGGAATGTGACCCCAAGGAGTGTCAGGCAGAACCAATGCTTCGTAAGATTCTTGGCTCTAAATACGGGCGGTGAGTGTGTTGAGAGAGGGTGGCACTACCAGCTACCCCCGACAGCCCACCCACCCACCCACCACCCACCACCCGTAAACACATGGTTGCTCTATCCTAGCGACACTCATGGTTAAAGCTTGCTAGGATGGTTCACCCGTAGGCACTGACCCTCCCATGGTTACTGTGTCGCAGGGGGAGATATGATGGTTTATACGTCACCAGAATGATAAACCATACTGTTAGGTTTATTTACCTTTAGAGCAAAGGACATGACACTAAAAAAAAATCGACAACAACGATGCATTATTTTTTTTTTAAGAATCTAAGGTTATTAACTATAGGTTGTGAAGCAGTGTTATGAAAGGCTAAGGAAGTGTTATATATTGTTTGTTATTAATCAATGTCCCCCTTCCGCCTTCCCAGTAGCCATGTCATGTAGTGTGTCCACAACGCTCAATTAGCAAATCTGTGTTAATGAGGAGTGGTGAGGCGAGTGAAGGAGTAGTGCCAAGTAGTCCCTTATAGAGTGTAATGATAGAGAGACGAATCACTGGAGTGTAATGACCCTCCGATGTCCCCCTCCCCCCCCCCCTTTCGCTCCCCCTCCCCACCAGTAAAGTGTTAAGCCTTTGAGCTAAAAAAAGGTAAAAAAAGCGGTTCTGTGAGTTTCGTTTTGTGTGTGTTGGTCGCGTAGTGATAATAGAGGAACAGGTTACTCAGTATTACTCCCGCTAGATATACTTATTTATATCCTGATTGTGTTCTGTGACTTAATATACGTAATTTATGTATACTTTTCCATGGTACTTCATACATGTATACTTCTGTGGCATTATTGATGGCATTCTCTCGTAACCTTACCTACTATTTGCTAGTGGCTTCTAACACACACATCTCGTTCTCACAGATTGACTCATATCTTGCTTAGTCGAGTCGGAAAATTGCTAGAAATCACACACACATAAAAAAAAAGCTTTCTTCCACTTGCTAGATTATTTTACGCTTCCCTGTTTTGGATTTATTAAGTAGATTGTCCTCCTCGACCCCCAGGTTCTGCTTCTCAATGTGGCTCTTATATTGCGCGAGTGTCAGGGGCACCTTGTATGGATTTCTAGATACAAAGCTTCCCTATGTGGATAAGATTATTTAAAGCCATAGATTTAAGTTAGAATGTTCCGAGGTACGTAGATAAGTTCCCTCTCTATCTCTCTGTTTACCTTTAAGTCTTAGTTCCTCCCTTTGTCGCAAAAACCTCCAGGAGACCCTTTACTCCCTCGGCCCCTGGAAGTGACACGCATCACCAGAACAAAACGTTAAGTAAATCGTGTCAGTCTCTAATCTTGGTCGCTATTACTGTATACCAGAGCTTGGCTGGCTCCATGAAACGAATCTTGAATCTTAAAGGAACGGACGTGATTGTCATATTTGATATTTTTTCATATGACGATCTTGATTCATACAGGTGGCTCCTTAACTGTTCCTAGGTTTAGTATAATATGCCAGAGTCGTTGTACATCACAGCTGATTTAAGAAACATAGTAAAGATAGATATTATTTGGGCATTAGTTGATCAAAGTCCCCCGCCTGTGATGTTGACCCTTCCTCCCGCCCCACCTGTCCACGCCTCAGTCTGGCTACAAGTCGAGGTATTATTATACTTGGTGTTACAACCCGAGTGTGACACAACTAAAACATATCAGTAATAATATCACGCTTCAGCAGCACCGTGTTGGTACCAAGTGTTTAAGTATAGTGACAGTATAACAATAATTTATGAGAAAAACTCCCTGTTCTTTTATCTTATTGTCAAAAAGTATCGTTTTATTTCATCATGTGTTGGTATAAATCCCTTCAATACAACAGCCCAGAATGTCTCCAGGATTATCAGACTGGAGAAGTCAATAGAGGAGGTCTAATATATCTCCATTTAAGGGTTTAATCGATACTTGTGACTTGATAATTGGTCCTCTCCCTTTATAGGTGCCAAACCACTTCCTTAGTCTCAGTGGCAGAATCCTCGAAAAGCACTTAATCTCTAGTTCACCTTTTGTCTGCTTCACACCTCAGCGTCTGAACTCAACCGGTGAGAGAGACGGCGACCAAAGCTGGCGAGTAAACTTGTCGGGATAACGAAGACGTAATGATTATTCTTACACTTGATAACACCGTCACTATTATCAAGAACTCATCCCAAAAACACCCATCACGGTCTCCACCTCAGTTTGGTTAGAACTAAGTGCCTTTCAGGAGTTACTGCCGCCTGCCCTTCGCCGCCCGGAGCCTGAGTTAGTCCCCGGGTGGATGATGAAGGTACTGCTGTCGTAAGATTAAGGCTGGCATGTGTAATATGGTAGACATTAGAACTGGAGACGCGCGTGCTAGGCGAGTGCGTATGGCTCGTAAGTGAGCATTCATAGTAAGTCAGTCCTGAGTGTTTATTGGTTGTGTCCTGGAAGGGATATAACCCAATGAGCTTTTGAAATAGATCTGGACTGCCGAGCTCTGAACGCTCATTGGCCAAACGATACATAGGGGTGTCAGCCAATCAACACCCAATATGATTATGTGACGTCACGTTGGTCTTCAGGACGTGTGTATGTCTCGCAGTGAATAGTATGTAGATGAGAACTGCCATGATCGAGTCACTGCCGCAGCGTGAGTATCTGCAGTGACTCCGGTTCTGAGTAGTTCAGAGTGTCCAAGAAGCAGTATTCTTGAAATGTGATCATTTTAACTTTTTTTAATTATTTATTCTGAGATAGGATTTTTACTATGCATTTATTCTTAGTGTAACGCCTGTACAGCTCCTCCTTGTATTAGTAATGATGTACCCAGTCTGTAAGCTTTTTTTATTTGTATAAAATGTGAATAAAAGAAGAAAGTAATGATAGCTGTCTTATTTACTTTTTTCAATTCCTGTTCCTGTTATTAAATGCTTAGATACATTATAGATCCAATTTAATCATTTATAATATATTATATCGCCTAACACAGTCACAATCTTTACTATATTCCTTCTTCATAATATCAAAATTACGAAGAAATAATAGAACATCATTATTACTTTAGTTACTCCTTTAACATTTCACTATTCAAAGAAAATGAACAATTAAATGTTTTGGGTAACTAAAGTAAAAAAATAAAATAACATAACCACCGTAACAATCTAACAAGGCTATGAATGACCATTACCCAGTTACACCCTCCTCCCTTACACATAGTCCCAGGCCACCATATTAAATCCCTCTACATCCATCAACACACCTCAGTATGTCTCTGACCTTGTGAGCAGGAGGACGCCCGAGTTACAGCTCCACCTCCTCCTCCAAATACTCACCATCGAGGGCAACATACACACTACCTGTACACTCATAAGGTAACATACGAGTTTTATCTCTCATATTTATTAATTGTTGATTAAATAGAGGAATTACTTTAGATTATTTAAAGACATTAATTATTGAAGCACAGCAATACATTATAACATCAACAAACGATAATTATATTTCATGTGTCGTTTTATTTGTGTTTTTATGTGTGTTCTGAAAAGGTTTATACACTTGTATGTTTAGATATTTATTTGTTTGTATAGGAATAATCGATGGAATAACAAGGATGGTGGTTTTAAAAGCTTCCATACAGAGATCTTGTTTCGGTTTTATCTGTTTATCGATCCATTCTGACATGACGGATGGAAATGAAACAAAAACAACGCAAAAATAACTCGTCAAAATAAGACCTAATTTCGGTTTCATTTCAATCATTTTTATTATGGCAATGAATATACATACGTTACCTACACGAATCATACATTATATACATCATTCCTCGTGAAATTCAAACTGCAAAATAATACACAGAGGTTACAAGAGATTGGTGTGTTTTGTTATATGGAAGTTTATTTTGTATTGTAATGGGTTACCAGTTAAATGTTATTGAGTACAGGAAATATATCCATGTTGAGCGTATGGGGTCATTGTCTCAATGGGCCCCTGTCCTGATGGACCCCAGTATTAATGGGCCCCAGTATTAATGGGTCTCAGTACTAATGGGTCCCAGTATTAATGGGCCCTTGTCCTGATGGACCCCAGTACTAATGGGCCCCAATATTAATGGGCCTCAGTATTAATGGATCGCAGTATTAATGGGTCCCAGTACTAATGGGCCCCAGTGCTGACGGGGCTCTGTTTTAATGGCCCTTCTAATCTCAATAGACCCAACCCTAATAGTCTGGGGCCCGATAGGACTGGAGCGCCATATAAGAAACAGATAAATTACAAACGTTTTACTATTTACAAGAAAGTATTTAACATAGTCTCACTTATTTACAAAATTGACTTAAAGTTTTCATAATATACATAGTGTTTATAGAAAGGCAAATTATTTAACTAGTAGTAAAGGTTAAGCAATAACGGATAGGTAAATGACTTGTTGGTGTGACTGTTTGGTGGCATTACTCATTAAGGTGTTTCTGAAATGAAGAATGGACCTGTCAACTCCACCTCCCTCTCTTTCACCTGTTCACCTCGCACACCTGTACTGTTCCTCGACCGTAACTAACACATACACACACACACACACACACACACACACACACACACACACACACACGCACACACACACAGTTATGGATGATACACAAACAACTACTCTGGTTAACATTAAATGGACATTTCCCTGAGAAAGATATTTGCAACATCACAAGAAATGACAAAAGGCTTGGTACTTCTTTCTCCAGGTAACTTAATCACACTACCTGAGGATATTAAATAAGATTACTTACCTTTCTGACTCAAGTACCAAAGTCATATCTTCTCTAGAGACAAACAAACAGACAAAGACTTAAATGTTAATAGCCCAATGGCATGATAGGCGCACCCCAATCTTGTTTGATCATGTCGGACGCCTTCTCTCCTATCATGATGGAGGGAGAGTTTGTGTTGCCTGAAGTCACAAGCGGCATGATAGAAGCGTCAACCACACGCAGGCCAGACACATGCCTTAACCTGGAGAATAAGACGGGTTTTATAACACTCTTTATGGTGTGTGTGTGTGTGTGTGTGTGTGTGTTTATATTAAAACTCTACATATAATAAACATATAAACAGTAAACAAAACAAAAAATATTTACTCTTTAGTTTGTTGAATTACATGACTCTTAGCGTCTCCATACAATCTCTCTCTCTCTTACTCACTTGAGATACTCGTCCACAACACTGTAGGGGTCAGAAGCTGGGCCCATCTTGCAGGTGCCGCTGGGGTGATAGGTCGTGCCCGTGAGACTCCTGGCGTAACACTCCAGGTACTTATCAGACAAAGGCCACTCGTGTGTACACCCAGGCAGTGGCTGGTCGTGGAACCGAGCCTCGAAGTCTTCCTTGAGGGCTGGCATGGATCCTAACTTAAGGGCAAACCTCATACCTGGAGGATTAGTGAATGATAAGGATGAGGTTTTGCGGATCACGTAAAGATTAGATACTCAAAATAGCCTAACCTAACCAAACCTAACCTAATCTAACCTAACCTAATCTCATACCTAAAGTGTTAGTTGGGATTTAATGGTAATATTTTTCACGAGGCCAGACAGCTCTATGTATGCCAACTTTGAATGATTGAATGATTTGTTATTACTGTAAGAGGACCCTACCCTTTCTCCTCTCCCCTCGACCTATTCCTCACCCCTAACCTTTCCTCTGCCCCTAACCTACCCCCCTCATCCCTAACATTTCCTCTATTCCTAACTTATCCACCTACCCCCTGACCTTTCCCTCGCCCCTGATCTACCCCCTATCCCTCGACCCATCCCTGACCCTTAACCTACCCACCTACACCTTAACCTACCCCATCCTCACCTCTTATGAAGGCAACCATATCATCTGGATGGTCGAAGTAATTAGTGTCAATCAATGGGGCTTCGAAGGGGTCCGCTGAGTTGAGGGTGACAGTCCCCCGGCTTTTGGGTCGACACAGGAAGAGCCCGATTGATATCCCTTCCATCCCAACCAAGTTCCTGAAGTACTGTTGGTACACCTGTAACATAAAGGTTATATTAGGAACTTTGTGGTGCCGTTAGAAGTTATCGTACGGCTGAACAATAAATTATCACCTATACCTAATGTGTTTTGAGTCGATTATATTATGTATGTTACCTGAGAAGATATAAATACCTAAAGTTAAGTTATACTAAATGTAATATTATTTAATTTGGATCACCTGAGGAATAGACACCTCAGATTATTTCACCTAATGATTAAACACCTTAACGATAACCTGAGGAGTTAGATTAGGTTAATTTGGGTAATGCTAGATTAGGTTAGGTTAAGAAAGCGTTAGGTTAAGTTAAGTTAGCGATAAGGTGTTCAGGTGATCCATTACTTATAAGGACCACCAACTAAAACACCCCCAACCTCTTACCTCAACACCCCCCCAAAAAAGTACCTCTTACCTCAACATCCCCCCAAAAAAGTACCTCTTACCTCATTCTTAATCCCAAGGACGTGAGAGGTAATGAGGCCGTAGTCATCGCCAACAGTGAAGGGCAGGAAGGCTATCTGTACCTCTGGCCAGTAAGGGTCACCAACCTCTGACATCGGCCAAGCGTAGCCCTCTATAGAGATGCTCGTGGTCAGACGTCCTGGACACACACGCACACCAGGGAAAGAGATAAGGCTGTATTAGTCTATGTCTCTGTTTTGGTAGCTGGTATAGTGGTATATCTGTCTCTATATACTAGCTGGTTGTGGTATATTCTTTGCTACTGTCTATTACCCTTGCTGGTATAGCCTAACTTGGTGTGTATATACAATGTCTCTTAGTATGGGTGTTGGTATAATTATTCAAGGTGTCACAAAAAATATGTATACACACTGCCTTTTAGATATTCTTCAAGAACGCGTGAATGTTTGCATTACTATAGCAACATTGTCCTCACGTGTGGGAGACCTCACACTTCCACACGTCAGGACAATGTTGCTGGTATAACAGAAACGTTCACACGATCGCGGGAGATTTTCATGACTCTAAGGCTGTTCATTAATCTGATATCATATAAATAGATGAACTTTATAGAGGCAATACATCCTGGTACCCGGCAAGGTGAGTGCCTCATTAGCAAGACCACAGGTAGGATCTTGATACCTTACCTGTGCCAATATACCAAATGAAAACATAACACACACACACACACACACACACACACACACACACACACACACACACACACACACACACACACACACACGCGCGCGCACGCAAGTGAAAGGCAGCAACACCTCGTGATTGTGGTTCACTGGACAGCTGGTTCTTATCAGCCCCTCTCTTCTACTTTTCTTCCTCCTCTACCTCCTCTCTTCCCTCCTCTTCTTCTTTTTCTTCTTCCTCCTCTCATTCTCCTCCTCTTCCTATTCTTCCTCTTCTTCTCCTCCTCTCTTCCTCCTCCTACTCCTCAATTTCACTTTCCCTTCTCTCCCTTTCCCCCCATTCCTCCTCCTCCTACGTCTGACCTCCCCACGAAAAACCGGTTTTACTTTGTGCACTTGTCACAAATTCCTGCACAGATCCTTAGCTTATGAGTTAATGTTCGCTTGGTATGATAGTCTAAGAGAGTTAAGGTATTATAACCTAACCTAACCTAACCCCCTAGGGTATTTAATCTTCAGGTGAAATAACCTTAGACATCTATTCTTCAGGTAACCCACAAAATAAATTTAATAAACAAAATACCTCAATAAACGAGGAAATAATGAAATACATCTCGTAAATAAATGATTTACTGATTATAGAATAATTTTTGTACCTTTGTGTTAATACGTCACTGTTGTTAATGAGTTTATATCACAGGTGAATAATTACCCTGTAGGTGTAGTGGTAATGACCCAAGGGAAGGCTTAGGACAGGAAATGATATTGGATAATGTTGGGAAGTGAGACTAGTTGAGGTGTGGTTGTTGTTGTTGTTGTGGTAGCTAGTCAATGTTTACTGCCTTGCTGGAATGTTGGTGGTGGTGGTGATGATGGTGGTAGTAGTGGTGGTCAGAGGTCAGTGTCTATTAAGTTGCTGGATAGGGAATGACAGTGGTAGTAGTGATGGTTGGGTGGTTGTGTTCTCACCTAACTTAACCTAACCTAACTTAACCTAACCTAACCTAACTTAACCTAACCTAACCTAACCTAACCTAACGTAACCTAACCTATCTTAACCTAACCTACAGAAAACTATTACTAGCATCGTTCAAGTTGACGGTCCAGGAATAAGTAAATATAAAAATATTATTTCTACCTGTTGACGTAAATTATAAAGAACACCTGGTCGCGTGTGTGTGTGTGTGTGTGTGTGTGTGTGTGTGTGTGTGTGTGTGTGTGTGTGTGTGTGTGTGTGTGTGTGTGCGTGCGTGCGTGCGTGTGTGTAAAATGGCACTCGTATGATCTTCGTAATCATTAATGCATTGTTGTAAGGTGAAAGTAGTCTGTAATTCACTTCTTTATAGTCTGAGGTTTATTATGTGTGTATGTGTGTGTGTATGTGTGTGTGTGTGTACGATTGTCTTTCTGAAGTAATGTGTTTCTTTTTTATATTGTATTTGTTAACGTATCAAGCACGTACTGTCACACACACACACACACACACACACACACACACACACACACACCTTTACTTTATTATTAACATCGGCATCTCTATATCTCATTGTCTTTTCCTACTTTTCCCTCCACCTCTCCCCTTTCCTCCTCTTCCCTCCTTCCCTACCACCACCAACGCACGCTCCTCCCTCCCTCCCCCACCACACACTCTTCCCTCCACCACCAATACACTCACCAGTTCTGTAATGCACATAGTCCTGGATGGTCTTGGGGCTGGCAATATCTAAGATGTGGAAGGAGGAGCCGTTCTTTATCGTCCACGGGAAACCTGTCATGTATGGATGGTCGTTCAGGTTCTGGCCGACCCCAGGCACATCAGCCACCACGGGGATCTGCCGAGAGATGATGTTACCTTTAGATACGTTGTAGCCACCATCATTTTGTTCACCATAATTTTGTTCACCAACTTTTTGTCTCCCAACATTTTGTCCATTTACGTCTTTTCGTCAATACTCACACCATGATACCGAAGGTGGTTTGCAGGCCCGACACCCGACAGCATCAGTAATTGGGGAGAGCCGATGGCCCCAGCCGACAGGATTACCTCCCTCTTGGCGAACACAGCCTTACTCTGTCGGGACAGGAAACACAATTTTAGTGTATGTGTGTGTGTGTGTGTGTGTGTGTGTGGTCAGTGAGAGTGTGTCTGCGTTGAGAGTTTAAGAGAAAGGGGGAAGTATATTCCTTTAAAACAAATAAAATCACACAAAAACAGGTGTGTAAATATCGTAATTAATCACTTATAACACCTGTATTATTTATTTTACCTTTCCTCTGTGTTGGAAGCGGACGCCCACAGCTCTCTTGTTCTCAAAGACGATCTGTAGTGGAGAGGTTATTATTATTATTATTATTATTATTATTATTATTATTATTATTATTATTATTATTATTATTATTATTATCGTCAACACACACATACAGGTAACAAGTACTGCCTCACCTGTGTAACATGAGCATTGAGGACCACGTGTAGGTTAGGTCTGGAGGCTGCAGGCTTGATGTAACCCTCAGCGGTAGACCAGCGGATGCCGTTCCTTGCTGTGAAGTCTACCAATGAGAACCCTGCAAGGTGGATAGTTGTCATTATGGCTCTAGTGGTGCTAGTGGTACACTGGTGCTCTTGGTATTGTGGTGCTAGTGGTATAGTGGCGCTAGTGGTATAGTGGTGCTAGTGGTACAGTTTGCTCTTGGTATTGTGGTGCTAGTGGTATAGTGGTGCTAGTGGTATAGTGGTGCTAGTGGTATTGTGGTGCTGGTGGTATAGTGGTGCTAGTGGTATAGTGGTGCTAGTGGTATTGTGGTGCTGGTGGTATAGTGGTGCTAGTGGTATAGTGGTGCTAGTGGTATAGTGGTGCTAGTGGTATTGTGGTGCTAGTGGTATAGTGGTGCTAGTGGTATAGTGGTGCTAGTGGTATTGTGGTGCTGGTGGTATAGTGGTGCTAGTGACACAGATCTATCACAAACGGTACAATACATCAGTGGCAGGTACAGTCAGGTATAAGCACAGGTATCGACAGACACTCCAGGTACCTGTAAACTCTCCAAAGTACCTGTATTTGCACCAGGTAGAATCATCAGGTACCTGTAGAAATAGTAATTCTTACTCACCAATCTGGTCAGGGTCGCTGGGGTCAACTATCCTGTAGCCAAGTTGTTTTCCAGCCTTCAGGAAGCCATCAGACACCTTCGTTCTCCACCTTTTATTTTCTATAGTCTGAGGGCCTCCAAACCCGTGGAACGATGCTGAAGTAGATAATGTTTACTTTAGTGGCAGGTAGATAATGTTTATTTTAGTGGCAGGTAGACAATGTTTATGTTTACTTAGTGGCAGGTAGATAATGTTTATTTTAGTGGCAGGTAGACAATGTTTATGTTTACTTAGTGGCAGGTAGACTAATGCTTATGTTTACTTTATGTTAATTTCATTAGGTAGTTGATCCACTTCATGTCATTTTCACTTCGGCATTAAGGAAGTGCAGAAGACAAATGTATTTTAATCTTCGCTCATTAACCTACCTGTCTCCTTCGTCACCTTGCCTCTGTAGTCTTCAAATTTCTTAAAGTATCTGAGAACGTCTCTGTATCCCCATCCAGGGTTACCCATCGCCTCCCAGTTATCGAAGTCCCTCCTGTTACCTCGCACGTAGAACATAGAGTTGAGCACTGAGCACCCGCCTATCGTCTTGCCTCGGGGGTAAGGTATCCTCTGTATGGTAGAAAAAGAGTGTTATTATCGTTTATTTTCGTTTTTAATTATATTTTTTCTTTAATTTTTGCTCCCCAATTCTTCCCTTCCTTTATCATCGTCCTGTTAAACTTACGTTATCGGTAAATCCGTTGAAGCTGTTTTTCTGTTTTGTTGTGTAAAATTTCCAATCGGCGTCTCCCAATATGAGCAGCTGGTTGAAGCCCGGAACGTAACTCTCAGGTGGTGGTGTTCCTCCAGCCTCCAGCAGGAGTATCTGCCAGTCCCCAATCTCCGAGAGCCGTGACGCTAATACACCTCCCGCCGACCCTCCTCCTACTGTACAGAAGAACAGAAGGCAGATTAGTTTAGTTATCCCGTTAATTATCCAAAGAAAACTGATCCATATTCGATTTTCATTTGTTTGATGTTGTTTATACGTGAATAGATTGATGTACTATAAGCATAGAGCCACACACACACACACACACAGGTCACGTACTAATGACGAAGTCGTACTGGGGCAGCAATTTGGAGGACGCGTCGTAGGTGTTCTCTCCCACCTCCCTCATCACCACCACCAGCAGGAGGCGGATGAGGGCCACAGGGATCATCCTCAGGGCGTCCAGGTGTGACGGCATCTTGTTGGTTCTTTACTTTACGCTGTGGTACGTGTGTGGAGGCTCCTTCTTCTCCCTTTCCGCTGCGGTGCGACTGTTGGGGTCTCCTTCGTTTGGTCTACCACTGGGAAAAAAAGAGAACTTTAATCTTTACTCGTTGTGAATTCTCGCGTTTTCCCAGGGTTCATGTCAGTCCACCACAGTGTAATAATAGACATGAATCAGGTTTAAATCTTTCACTTTCATGTCTACTCTTTCCACTTCTCTGGCCTCATTTACCAAAAGGAAAATAAAAGTTGAAAGTAGGAAAATTAATGTTAAATTATAATTTTAAACTCGTTTGACTTCATACCAACGCCATCTTGGAGTCTTGACATTCTCTCTTCCTGGTAGAAGTAGGAAATTTCTAGTGCATGACATTAATCTGTGTGGATTATGAGATCATATGAAGATTAGCCCCAAGCTTAAAGTTAAACACCCCTAACCTAATCTAACCTAACCTAATCAAGTTACATAAATTAATAAGATAACCTAAATGTAACAGGTAGGTAGTACTTTCTCATATATCAGGGTCTTATTGTCGAGTTTTTGTTATTGGTGAACCATAAAGTGATATTGTTTGGGCTATTTATTTTTAATAGATCTCGTAGACTCGTTTATAATGAGTAGAAATAATAATAATAATAATAATAATAATAATAATAACGGAGGGAGAGAGGGAGGAGGCGATTGGGAAGAAAAAGGGAGGGAGGGATGAGAAACGAGTTGGTAGGAGAAAGGGCAAAAGAGAAGACGAAAGAAGAGGGAAAAGGGCAACAGGAAGAGACAGGATTGGAGGGAGGGAGGGGAGAAAGAGAAAGCATGAGGGAGGGGGGAGAGAGAAGGAGGAAGAGAAAGAGGGCGGGCGGGATAGAAGGATAGCAGGAGGGAGGTCAAGAGAGAGAGAGAAGTGGTCTGAGGAGAGAATAGGGATGGAGGGAGGGAGGGAGGGAGGGATGGAGGGGGGAGGGAGGGAGGCACAGCATCAGGTAAGGTGGGGTTGTATCTGGTCAGCACAAACATTTACATAACAAACACCTTAACGAATCCATGACTCACTGAATCAACTGACGAGTACCTACATAACTCACTGAATCAGCTGACGAGTAGCTACATGACTCACTGAATCAGCTGACGAGTAGCTACATAACTCACTGAATCAGCTGACGAGTACCCAGCCCAAGAGAGTACACTCAACAACAACAAAAAGATTCAGAAAGACAACATGACACGCACGGTAGGTCTTCATTCTATTTACAAACAGACCTACACCATCACCTTCACCATCACCTTACACCATCACCTTCACCATCACCTACACCATCACCATCACCATCACCATCACCTACACCTTACACCATCACCTTCACCTTCACCATCACCTTCACCATCAACATCACCTTCACCATTACCATCACCTACACCTTACACCATCACCTTCACCATCACCTACACCTTACACCATCACCTTCACCATCACCTTCACCATCACCTTACACCATCACCTTTACCTTCACCATCACCTTCACCATCACCTAGTCGTCCTTGCTATTATATTGACCCTACACTCACCATCCCATTAGTTGTAGTTAAAGAGGAAAAGTCTATGACAATACACACACACACGCCTTCAGGGTGAGGCTTTTGGTGACGCCTTTCAAAACTCGACACAGTATAGGGAGGTATTCGTCTGGCTCCATACCTAACAAACATTATTATCATTTTTGGTTTCCATTGTGTCTCATATTTCTTCTTTTATTCCTATTCTTGTCTTTCTTCATGCTAGCTCTCATTCTCTCCCTTTTTCTTCCTCGTTAATCATATTTACCTACATTTCTCTTCTTCTTGACGTTTATTCTCGTCCGTGGCTATACCTTCTCCCTCACTCGACGTTACTGTTTCTGTACACGTTTGGTTGCTTCAGGAGATAGTGTGGGAGAGGACCTAGTTATTGCAAGATGCATATGTGTGTTGCATATTAATGCTCACCCCTGGCCTTTCTTCCCTCCTAGAACCATTCGTGCAGTAGGAAGAGGTGTGTGTGTGTGTGTGTGTGTGTACAGTATGTATGGCTGTGAACGTGTATTATAAGTTCACACCTCAATTAACATATCTGGCATCACTCACCTCACAGAAAAACAAAACGCAACTGTCACACCCATTCTTGCAACACACCCAGCCACGACCACCATCACCTTCCTGCTGTGAAAGGCTATAATTGTGTGCTTTCACCGTACCTGACACACACTGACGTACCTACATGCCTGCCCACACGCTCACAGATTCCCCCCACAGGTGAAATATTTATCTAGTGAGATTTTAGGAGTGAGGTCCTGTAAGATCGTCTTTAGCCCACGCGGAAGTCACGAGGACCTTCCTGTTGGAGCGACTTCCTCGTAGGAAGGAAATCCTCAGCTCATGTGGGATTTTCTGATAGGTTAGGTTAGGTTTACCTTACCTAATCTAATCTAATCTAACCTCACCACACTAACGCAAACCAAACCTAATGTAATGTACATCTAACCTAAAGTATCCTAATAGCAGTGACACTAACCTAGCCTAACCACAAGTAGCATTGGGGGGGGGGGGATCATCAGGTGATCCTCATCTACTTAATGCGTAAAGGAGACATTTAATTCTCTCTCCTTAATTTACTGTCACAGCCGAGCACTCGTGCCCACAGGGACGGCAGGTAAGGGCGGGGGCACCAGGTGACGTCGGACCTCACTTAATCTGCACTCCTTGGAGAGACGTAGAGTGAGGGGCGATATGATCGAGGTGTATAAATAGAAGTCAGGGCTAAACAAAAGTGATATAACAAAGGTACTTAACCCTTTCGCTGCGAACTCGTAGCAATGGTTTTAAATGAGACATATTTAGATTTAGGCGCGAAATAGGTAAGCATTGGTTTGGTAATAGAGTAGTGGATGAGTGGAACAAGTTACCAAACATCATCTTTAACTGGAACACGCTGGATAGCTTCAAACAAAAGTTGGGTAGATATATGGGCGATAGGGGTTGGGTGTAAACTGGGGTGCCCACTATGGGCCAATAGGCCCCGTGCAATTGCCCCATTCTTCTTTTCTTATGTTCTTAAGCGTGTGTCAGAGAGAGAGAGGAAGGTAACTTGGAGCTGAGATGAGCCCCCTACCAAGTTGTCTAACTCATGTTCTGTTTTTGCCTGGTTTTAAAGCCAAATATTCACTCGTCATGTAATAAATCTTAATGTTAAAATTCTACACAACATAAAAATAAGCAATAATGAACTTAATGTTTGGTGTTAGTGTTCGCTGTAAGCATCAGTCTGGCTGCTGCAGGAGCTGTTTTTGTCAGCCCTTCACTATGGTGTGTCTGGTCGGCTGCTCCACCTCCATATACAGCACGTTTTTTGTAGCTTAAGTGACACGGTTCCTTTTTTGACATTATACGAAAGCTGTCCTGCATCCTGTGACCCTCAGAGTCTTGATAACCGATGATAGTTACCTGAAATAGTGTCCCTTGTTATTAGTGATATTTAGAAAGTACCGTTGTTTATGTTAGGTGTAGCTGTTGTCGCCATTACACAAACAACACCATGAGAACTTTTTCCAGGATGTCACATGAAGTATCTAATGGTTTACATAATGTGACGTCAGGTGTTGATTTACCTGGTTGGTGACGAGAATAATTACAGTTATGTTTAGCTGTTGATGACTGGGTAATTACCGTTATGTTTATTTACCTTTTGTCGATAACTACGATTAAGTTCATTGATGTGGTGTGATGATAAACTACTCCACGTCCTCAACACGATTAGACTACGTGCCAGTTCTCACGTCGTAGTTACTCATGTGAAGACGCGACAACTGTGTTAATTTTACGAGTTACAATATTTAATGCCTTTCTCTGCCGTCGTTACTACTTCATATAAACACAACACCTTCTTAATTATCACTTCCTACAATTTATTACCATTTTCTCATCTCCCTCTTCGTAGTTTATCATCATTTGCTTCACCCTCTTTTCTCACACTTCATTACTGTTTTCTTATATCTCTCTAAATCGTAAAATACAGAAGTCAAACTAATCAGAAACCTCGACACGGGAGCCAATCAGAGCTATGTATTATCTAGGTCAATGATCGTGACCTTCAATTGACACGAGGGGGATGTTGGGGTCAAATGGGATCATCTGGGGTCGTCACAGTACTTCCTATGGGACCCCGGAAACGATGGTAAATGTAAAGGAACATGGGGTGATAGAGAGAGCATTTGACGATAGCTTTAGTTCTGTTGACGATAGCGGTAGCAGCTGATGTTAACTATAAGTGCATATTCTTCTCGTCGACCGAACCGAAACTACGATATCCTAACTCTCTCTCCTCTTAAACATAATCTACGATAGTTGTTTGATCAACCTGACTAAAAGAAAGAGAGAGAGAGAGAGAGAGAGAGAGAGAGAGAGAGAGAGAGAGAGAGAGAGAGAGAGAGAGAGAGTTCCTCCCTCCACAAGACGTAACCAGCTGTTATTAGTACACAAGAAAAAGAGTTGTTTTTACGCTCTTGGGCTCCACCGTTCACCCTAGCCTTGAGAACGAGAATGAGTTTGTACACGCCAATTGATCCTCTATTCTGACAATGAACGTAGATAAAGTGATCGTATTCAACCCTGGGAATATCATACGATTTTTTTTTGCTTAACTATTAAAGAAAGAATTATTTTTATTTTTGTCTAGGAAGGAATATACGATTTTTTCAACTATTCAAGGGAGAATTATTTTTTTTTAGAATATTTATTATTCAAAGAGAGAACGAGGATTATTTTTCCTATGATATGAGAAAGTTGTAGGATTTTGTTAATTATTTTTCCAGGTACGTAAGAATAAGAATTGTTTATTATTATTATTATTATTATTATTATTATTATTATTATTATTATTATTGTTGTTGTTGCTGTTGTTGTTGTCTAGGAAACGTGATATTTTCCTTCTTGTCCCCCTTCTACTTATCCTCCTCTACTCCTTTTCCCACTTCTCTTCCTCTTCCTCCACTTCCACTTCCTACTTCTTTTCCACCTCCCCCTCCTCCACCACCGCCTTCTTTTCCTCCTCCTCGCACAGTGACCTACATAGTGAATGGCTGGCCGCTGGATGGATCAGTTTTTACCTCGCTTCTTGTCTACTAATAATACCTGATTACGTCTTGTGGAGGGAGGAACTCTCTCTCTCTCTCTCTCTCTCTCTCTCTCTCTCTCTCTCTCTCTCTCTATGATTCACTATCTCTACGACATTTGGATATAAGTGCAATCACTTTCACTTTCACTGCAACAATATCTATCCCAGTGTCTGTGCAACAGTCACCATCTACAATGTTCTCTCTCTCTCTCTAGAACACCTCCTCACTCTCACTAACAACCAACACATTCTTAGCTCACTCTTTCTCCCTACAACACACACATTCACCTGACTGACCCCCCACCCTTCACCTGGCTGACCCCACCCGTCACCTGGCTGACCCCCCACCCTTCACCTGGCTGACCCCCCCCCTCACCTGGCTGACCCTCACCTGGCCCCCACCCTCACCTGGCTGACCCCCCACCCTCACCTGACTGATGCCTCCACCCCTCACGTGGCTGATCCCCCACCCCTCACCTGTGGCTGATCCCCCACCTCTGAACCACTCCACCCCTCACTGTAGGCGTGATCCATCCCACTTACGTGATACTCACCTTGATACCCCTCACGTGGCTGATCCCCCACCCCTGACTGATGCCTCCACCCCTCACGTGGCTGATCCCCCACCTGGTTGAAACTGAACAATCACTCCATAAAAAAAACTAATTAACAGGTACAGGTTTAAGTACATTAGTCACCACACCTGTAGGCGTATACCTAAAAGATCTTAAGTCATCGTGTCGTAATATACTTTAGTCTTACGTGATACTTTTAATTTTTCTAGATAATATATAAACTTTATTCGTTAACTATAAAAAAATATCTAGATATTGGAAATTAACTTTTATACACTATATAATTTGTATCATCTTATATAATTGATATTTATTACAAACATTTATTTATCACACTTATTAAATATTACCAACTTTATTGTATATAGTTTCATCTCCTTGATTTATTCTCCTCCTCCTCCTCCTTCTCTTCCTCTCTTTCACTTTTGTTGGATTATATTGTGTTTATTGAAAGATGCATATCATTATTATTCAAGATTATTTCAACAATATGTAAACAAACACAACAACGTCTGTTTATTTTGGTTCTTTTTCATCGGTATTTTCTTTATTATTATTATTTTCATGTAAGGCTTTAGGAGTAAGGAGAGAGAGAGAGAGAGAGAGAGAGAGAGAGAGAGAGAGAGAGAAAAGTGATTGTCTTTATAACGGTAACTAACAAACAAACGAGCATCGAAGAAATAAATGAAACAACACGTGTTTATCTCTCTCTCTCTCTCTCTCTCTCTCTCTCTCTCTCTCTCTCTCTCTCTCTAAATCCGTCCCTCAGCAATAACTCACTGTCAAACTCCTCTCCTCACGCAACAAAACATAAAAAAAACACCGTAAAATGCATCACATTACACATAAAAACACAAAAACAGTTCCTTCACTCATAAAACACTCAAAACATCACCCTACAAGAAAACACAACTAAAAGGCACCGGAGCCGAATTCTACCTGATTGGTGACGATGATGACGATGACGATGACTTCCCAACAGTAGATGATATGGTATAAATCCCGTAATGATGAGAAGTCGTCAGGGTATGTAAACAAGATGTGGTAGTGGCAGGGGGTAGAGCAGTCAGTGCCCTGAGCCCGTGGCGTTAGCTAGAGTGGATGAAGCTCAACTGAAGCCATCGTCGACCGAGCGGGCCATCCGGCTCTTGCGGGGCACGACTGGTTGTTGATGACCTTGCTGGCACTTGGGTATAAGAGAGGATATTTACACTACCTTGCCTGACACGCAACCACCCAGGGGAGAGGACTTTCTTGGAGATTCTGGCTGGGTGACTACGTGAGGATATCATCGTAAACCTGCACATAAGAGTAGTTCCTTTTATTTATTTTAGGATTCAAGAGAAACAGGAAGTAGTATTATATATATATGTATCTAAGGTGTTCCACGACGGCTGTTTATTTTAGTTGAAAGTCTTGAGATTGTCTTGAGTTCTATGTCAGTGTGTCACGGTGGGGGCGTCTTCGTATTGTTTTTCTTGCGGACGACACAACAGGAGCGAGGAAGTTATTTCAAGTTAGTGTTATCTCCGGGGATTGTATTTCCGAGAGTAGATATTGTCTGTATGTATGACTGTCTCTATTACTCATTAGTGTTCACGGTGATGGTACTTAATGTCATAACGTACAGGAATTACCTTTTATGTTTTGATCCAAGAAAAAAAAAGAGTGTTTTTATTTTATTTATACAGTCTTTTGTCTGACTATATTATTTTAGATGTTCGTAAAACCTTGACCACCTTTGACCCCTAATCCTTGACCTGACAGAAACAGGAAACAATGAAGGAACACTTTCTCTCCCCTACGAATTCTTTTTCTCTAGTTTACAACATTTAAGAGAGGGCTGTGAGGTTAATATATTGTGACTCTACGCCTTGTTTACTGACCTCCTGATGTATATATTAGGTCGTGACGAGGTGAGGGTGTTTTGTGTGGCGTACCGTGATCATGGGAAAGTGTGTGTGTGTGTGTGTGTGTGTGTGTGTGTGTGTGTGTGTGTGTGTGTGTGTGTGTTTAAAATCTGAAGCTGAACTTGTTGTCTTTGAGGTGTTATGAGTGTTTGATTCAGGTGTATTTTTGGATCACCTGACCTGACCTAACACCCCCCCCAGTCATAGTTAAGGTGTTTAATTAAGAGATAAAAAACACGTTGGTTAATAATTTTGGGGTAATTTATTTGTTATCGTCAAGGAATTTACCTTTAATTTTGGATGTTTACCTAAATATAAAATGAAATACTGAACAATACAAAGAGGAATTTGACACGTTGATCAACTGGAACTACGATAGTGTTACATAGTGATACAGTGAATGTGACAATTACAGTGCGATACAACAATCAGTATATATAGGTTTACAGAACTCTAGTGACAGCCTGTACAACTCACACTATTACTGGTAGCTTATAAGTTCACTACACCAAGACCAACAATGATAATAGTTAAAAACGAAAGACAATACGCACCTTTACTTCTTGTTAGGTGAGAGAGAGAGAGAGGGAGAGAGAGAGAGAGAGTGAGAGAGAGAGAGAGAGGAGAGAGATTGAGGAGAGAGAGAGAGAGAGAGAGAGAGTGTGTGTGAGAGAGAGAGAGAGAGAGTGAGAGAGGAGAGAGAGAGTGAGAGGGAGAGAATGGCATTGTTTTATAACTTGGTCGACTCTGTTACATATTGGGGTCTGAGAGAGGAACAAGTCAGCCAGTGAAAGTGATTCGACTGTGTAGCTTTGAGTGGCGGTGGTGGCTGTGGCGGTGGTGAGGAGAGGTAAGTCGGTCCGAAGTATGTCAAGGTGTGAGGGAGGGACACTTGAGAGGTGGAGGAAGGGGGGGAAGGAAGGAAGGACGTCTGTCTGGGAATTCCCCTGAAGACAAATGGGAAGGGTCAATGGAAAGGCCATCTGGAAGCCTGAATACAAGATCTATCTGGATTAGTTACTGGAAGATGTATTATCGGATACTCTCGGTAGACTGTCTGGAATAATGTATGGGAGAATGAGTTTATTTTGTAGAAGAGTAAGTAAGGTTTTATGGTAAGTCTCTCTGACACGTTTCGTCGAAGACTCTAGAATGCTCTGAAGGGCTATAAAATACTCTGTAATGATCTGGGAGACTCTGGAGGGCTCTGGAAGACTCTGGAATGCTTTGGAAGGCTCTAAAATACTCTGTGATGCTCTGGAAGACTCTGGAAGCCACTTCGTAAGGCTCATTGAAAGTCATTGTGAGGCTCCTTGGAAGACTCTAATACTCCCAGAACCTTTTTTTTCCCTCGAAATCTTTTGAAAACTTTGACAAATATCCAGGAGCAAATTTCAAACGATGCTCTGAAAGACTGAACAAATTTGGGTAAAATTCCTGGAGCAGTGAACGAAACATCACCTGAATAATATCAACGAAAAGACGGAGGACATAATATTTGGAATATTTTCAGTAATATTATATACAGTCAACTCAGGGACCATTAGTGCCTTTAATCCCTGTCTAAGAGGTGGAAAGACTCATTCTGGAATACATTTTCAAACACTGGACGCTTTTTGACTCGCTTACAGAGAAAGAATCTATTATATACATTAAATAAATCATAAACATATCAAGCAACTAAAAAAACAATTAAATAAAACAATTTATATTAATATCTCAAGACAGACGTTGGATTATCTTAGGTTGGATAAGACCATCGACCATTTAGGGACGTGCAGCTGGAAAGATAACTTGAGGTACGTCGTGTCAAAGAGCTGGACTATGTTACCCTGTTCACCTCTTCACCCCCACCACCACCATACCTACCTGCCCTGTACACCCTGACAGATATTTCTTATACTACCTAAACCTAAAAGGACTGTGTGTGTCTGTGTGTGCGTGTCTGTGTGTGTGTGTGTGTGTGTGTGTGTGTGTGTGTGTGTGTGTGTGTGTGTGTGTGTGTGATTTTTTCGTTGTGTGACAGGTCTTAAACTTTACTCTTAAAACTGATTATTTATTTAGCTACGTCATCTAAACATAAACTGTATTATCATAAAATATAGCTTCTGTATATGTTTCTTCGTTTAACTTCTTTAATTATCTTTATTATACTGTAGTACACACGAGCTTTGTGAGGTAACCCTACGGAAGAGAAATTTCGCGTGTTAGCCCTTTAAAATTTAAATATTTACGTTTTCTTTAAATATCAAATGAATTTGTTTTCTGTTAAAGTGACTCAAGATTTAGTGGATAACTATACCAAATTGAGTACTTTCGACACTACAAATTGAATTTGTTTTCTGTTAAAGTGACTCAAGATTTAGTGGATAACTATACCAAATTGAGTACTTTCGACACTACATTGCGAGGGACAGGATTACTGATGGAGTTGGGGAGAAAAAATGCCCGGGTAGGATTAGGAAGACGAAATAGCTACATGGGGTTGGAGAACAGGATGGCTGGGTATGATTGGGAAGAAGAAGTAGCTAGGTAGTAGTAGTAGGTAGCAGGCAGCTATCAAACAGGGAGGTACTACCGCCTGGGAAGATATTGGAAGCATAATGTTTTGTCTAATGGTAGACCCTGCTGCCATATGGCATCACAAAAATTGTGACCAAGTCCCAGGTTGCTGATTTGACTTTCTGCCTCATTTACACACAATTGCAGGGTCTCATTTGTTTCTCTTACTTTGACAACACAACATACATAATGTATATATTTTTTTCATTCTTTATTTACTTTTCTCGTTTTTGTATTTATTTGTGGTTATTATTATTATTTTTAGTATATTATTTTTATTTTAGTACAGGTATTTTGTTATTATTTTTTAATTATCAAAATAATAATAATAATCGTTATTATTAGTATTAGTATTATTATTATCATTATCATATTTTCGCCCTCCCCCCCAGGCCCTGATGTGGGTCAGTGACCTGTGCCTGGGTGGGCTAAGCCCCGTACAAAAAAAAAAAAAGATTGGTAGTATCATGCACCCTATTTCTGTAGTCCGCCGATCTAACGATCCACAGCAATTAATTTTCCTCAAACAGGGAGATTAACATTTTAATGTCTGTGTCAGACCATTTCTTCGCCATGAGAACTTCGTTCTCACTACCTCCAATGACGGAAGACATCCTGGCAGCCGGACAGCCTAGCTCACACTAAACGAACTTGCACAAAAAAATCTATCATGTCTAGATCACCTGTGACCACTTGAGCCAGACATTGCTAACACGTTTAAACTTGCGAGCACTTCCCAACACTTGGACAGGACTCGCGACATTCCTTACAGAAGCGCTTACAATGGCAAGTTTGCTGTCCGAGAGAGAACTTGCAACACTTTTCTCGCAAATATAAACGTAACTTAACCTAACCTTCCTGGGGTAGCTTAATGTTGCGATGAAACACACACACACACACAGAGGGCGACAACAAACCTCAGCACCCAGCCAGGCATGAGAGGCACAGCAGTGAAGGAACAGTCATGCACTCCTGAAATTACACCACACCAGCTTTTATCCCTGGGGAAGGTACAGTATTTAGAGCCGGCCATCATGCACCACTAACGTACTGTACATTGTCCTTAACTACCCTGAGTGAACTGCCATTAACAAGCACCCAACACTCGCTCGTTATCTGGGTACTACCTGGCTGTAGAGAATTACTTCACCATTATATTTCATTCCCAGGTTCCAGGATTATAGTGGAGGGAGGAAGGAGGAGGTTGATGGCCCAAGGTTTAATTACAGAGGTCGAGTGACGGACTCCTTCCCACGTAACCCAGCCCCCCTCCCCTCCCCCTCCCCCTTTGCTGAGGTCCCCCTGTGTGCTAATCCCACTTGGATATTATTTAGTGTCAGAATAGGAGATAAGGATTTGACAGGAGGTGAAATTATTAATGATATATATTTAAACAGAAACCGGAAAAAATTACACTTGAAATACCGGTTGTAATCTAGTATAAACCTAACCTAACCTAGCCTAACCTTTCCTAAATAATCTCAAACACACGGCCATCTTAACAGCTAGTCAAGTTATCGTATCAGGTCAACTACACCATCACGTATAGGAAAACTCTTTCGATAGGTTCAGGTATTTAAACCATCACCGTCATAGCATGGATGACGTCACAGTTGCCAGTCACTCACAGATGACGTCACAGTTACCAGTCACTCACAGATGACGTCACAGTTACCAGTCACTCACAGATGACGTCACAGTTACCAGTCACTCACAGATGACGTCACAGTTACCAGTCACTCACAGATGACGTCACAGTTACCAGTCACTCACATATGACGTCACAGTTACCAGTCACTCACAGATGACGTCACAGTTACCAGTCACTCACACAGACAAACATGACAATAAAGGAAAATAATTCTCCTCTGGTTCACATTTATTGGAGGATTAAAATTACGAGACACGATTAATTCTCAGTGTTATGTTATTAAAGCGTGTCTGTGTGTCTGTCTGGCGGCACTAATCTACAAAACCTCTCAGGTAATTCCTTAATTATGATAATATAAACAGTTGGTGATATATCTCGTTAGTAAAACAGGTAGGTCAGGTAAATACGGTATTATCATCATCATTATCATCTCCCCTAAACGTGTGAGAGAGAGAGAGAGAGAGAGAGAGAGAGAGAGAGAGAGAGAGAGAGAGAGAGAGCACTTACACTCGCCCTCGTCCAGGTAACTACAACAAAATATCATGTATTATCATATTGCTTTTGCAGCTTTTATAATCAGGCGATAAATTCATACATGACTTCTCAATATATCTCTGTGTATGTAGTCAAGGCGTGTACGTAACCAAGGCGTGTACGTAAGGTGTGTACGTAACCAAGGCGTGTATGTAACCCAGATGTGTACTTAACGAAGATATGTACGTAATGTTCTCCAAATTCCCAGTTTTCCGGGTATTATTATTATTATTATTTAAACTATTACTGTGTATGAAAAAATAAACCAGGTTGTAATTTTAGAGAATGAACAATAGATGGCGACACATGTGGGTATAATATATGACGTGTTTTACTACAGCCATAACAACTGTACAATAGATGGCCTAATATTCATCGTTTCTAGTGAAGGAAGACCATTAAATATTACCACCGTGTTTTGTCTTCCCGTCAGAGTATTATATTTTACCAACACTTCGTGAATTTGTGTATCTTGTGTGAAGAAATGCGGTGGTGGCCGGGTGGATAAAACGTTCGCCCACTGGTCCTAAAGTTCACTGGTTCGCACCCACTGTTGGTCTTTACAGTAGAGGAAGGGAAGATGATCGAGTGTAGAGTATCGTCCACGCTGTCTCCATGTGTTGTGTTACAGCCTTTGAGACACATGTGGTGTGTGAGTGAGTGGGCGAGTGGGCGAGTGAGTGAGTGAGTCAGTCAGTATCTTGTGTTTGTCATATGCGAGGAGTTATCACGCTATTTGAAAACTATCTTTATTAACATACACACACACACACACACACACACACACACACACACACACACTTTATGGGCACCACATGAGTTATGAGCACGTCCTTCGTAGGCTCACAATGTATGAGCAAATATTTTATGAATAAACGATTACAGAGCACAGCATTTATTGGTTAGGTTAGGTTATGTTAGATTAAGTTCGGTTAGGTTAGGTTAGCTAATGTGTTGTGAGCACAGGTATTATGAGTACAGGTTTTATGAGTACAGGTTTTATGAGTACACTAGCAGGCCACGGTAGGACGCCACCCTCCAGGAGGCTCCACATTGTCTCACTGTTCAGTCCCCAGAACTTCTTCTTCCATCAATAGTTCATTAACGGTGTATGTAAGTTCCACCATGTATTTCACTACAACGGTACCGCAAAGTATATTTTTTTAGCATTAAACTGTTATTATTTTATTGTCTAATCATCACTACATATAACACTACCTATTACCACTACATAAAACATCATCCATCATCACTACATATAACACCATCCATCATCATTACATATAACACCATCCATCATCACTACATATAACACCATCCATCATCACTACATATAACACCAACCATCATCACTACATATAACAACATCCATCATCACTACATATAACATCATCCATCATCACTACATATAACACCATCCATCATCACTACATATAACACCATCAATCATCACTACATATAACACCACCCATCATCACTACATATAACATCATCTATCATCACTACATATAACATCATCGATCATCACTACATATAACATCATCCATCATCACTACATATAACACCATCCATCATCACTACATATAACATCATCCATCATCACTACATATAACATCATCCATCATCACTACATATAACACCATCCATCATCATTACATATAACACCATCCATCATCACACATATAACACCATCCATCATCACTACACTAACACCAACCATCATCACTACATATAACAACATCCATCATCACTACATAACATCCATCATCACTATATATAACACCATCCATCATCACTACATAACACCGCATCAATCATCACCACATATAACTTTTACCATCATCACTACATATAACATCATCTATCATCACCATATAACATCATCCATCATCTACATATAACACCATCCATCATCACTACATATAACATCATCCATCATCACTACATATAACACCATCAATCATCACTACATATAACATCATCCATCATCACTACATATAACACCATCAATCATCACTACATATAACACCATCAATCATCACTACATATAACACCATCAATCATCACTACATATAACACCATCCATCATCACTACATATAACGCCATCAATCATCACTACATATTACACCACCCATCATCACTACATATAACATCATCCATCATCACTACATATAACACCATCCATCAACACTACATATAACAACACCCATCATCACTACATATAACAACATCCATCACCACTACATATATCGCCATCCATCATCACTACATATAACATCATCCATCATCACTACATATAACAACATCCATCACCACTACATATATCACCATCCATCATCACTACATATAACATCATCCATCATCACTACATATAACACCACCCATCATCACTACATATAACACCATCCATCATCACTTTACATATAACACACACATATAACACCATCCATCATCACTACATATAACAACATCCATCATCTTTTCATATAACACCATCCATCATCACTACATATAACACCATCCATCATCACTACATATAGCACCATCCATCATCACTACATATAACAACATCCATCATCACTACATATAACAACATCCATCATCACTACATATAACACCATCCATCATCACTAATATAACACCATCCATCATCACTACATATAACACCATCCATCATCACTACATATAACACCATCCATCATCACTACATATCACCATCCATCACTACATATAACACCATCCATCATCACTACATATAACACCATCCATCATCACTACATATAACATCACCCATCATCACTACATATAACACCATCCATCATCACTACATATAACAACATCCATCATCACTACATATAACATCATCCATCATCACTACATATAACACCACCCATCATCACTACATATAACAACATCCATCATCACTACATATAACACCATTCATCATCAGTACAGATAACACCATCCATCATCACTACATATAACAACATCCATCATCACTACATATAACACCACCCATCATCACTACATATAACACCATCCATCATCACTACATATAACATCATCCATCATCACTACATATATCACCATCCATCATCACTACACATAAAACCACCCATCATCACTACATATAACAACATCCATCATCACTACATATAACATCGTCCATCATTACTACATATAACCCCACCATCATCACTACATATAACAACATCCATCATCACTACATATAACATCATAAAACATCACTACATATAACACCATCCATCATCACTACATATAACAACACCCATCATCACTCCATATAACACCATCCATCATCACTACATATAACTCCATCCATCATCACTACATATAACAACACCCATCATCACCACATATAACATCATCCATCATCACTACATATAACACCATCCATCATCACCACATATAACACCACCCATCATCACTACATATAACAACTTCCATCATCACTACATATAACATCACCATCATCACTACATATACAACACCATCCATCACTACATAACCATCCATCATCACTACATATAACACCACCCATCATCACTACATATAACACCACCCATCATCACTACATATAACACCATCCATCATCACTACATATAACACCACTCATCATCACTACATATAACAACATCCATCATCACTACATATAACTTTACAACCACACACTGCAGTCACTACATCATAATATTTATAACATCATCTACACTACAATAGTGTATCACAACTATGTTACTGTATAACAAAGTTCCAACCTCATTATTCTGTACAGTATTTATGTTTTACTAGCTGATTTTCGAATTGAGGTCCTCAGTGGTCGTACACTTCAATATAACTAATCGCAAGATGATCTCAGATCAAACTGTGCGAGTGTTTCTGGATGCCTGCGAGGGATACGGCGTCAACGTGTTTGGCGCTCAGCTCTATGAACTGGTAGCCGACCCAACCTGCTGTAAGCTTTTGGGTAGCGGGGCTTTTGGCACATGTTACAGTGTTGAGGTCTCAAAAAGCCACTGGGTCATCAAACTCGTGCCAGAGGATGGTCCTGACATCGAGAGTCTCTACGGGGAAATCCAAGCTCTGTCCGCCTTGCAGGGTGTCCCAGGTCTACAGAAGGTGGTCGGGGTTTGTCCCTGGAAGCTCGCTTTAATCACAGAGTTCGCCGGGAAGTCCTTGGACACCTACTTAGACACTCACAACTGCACCTTCTCAGAGCGCCTCCAGATCGTGCAACAGGTCAGCTGGACACTGACTGAGATGAGGGCTCGGGGATGGGTGCACAATGATATTAAAATCAATAACATTTGTATCCAAAAGACTGCCCAGGGGATCCAAGCTACTCTCATTGACTTTGGTTTAGCTGTCCAGGTCGGGGGATGCCTACCATTTCCCCCAGGAACAATGGCACCCTTCCACATGGCCCCTGAGGTGGTCAAAAGCAGTCAACTCACCCACCAGGCCGACGTCTACAGCGTCGGTCGCCTCATGCAGTATCTTCTGCATGAAAAGCTGAGCCGCCTCCACCAAGATGTACGAGGATGGCTGGTCCGCGCCACCAACCGTGACCCAAGCCAACGAGGCTCCTTAGTTGAACTGTTAGAGTGTCTTGACGGGTGAGGAAAATATGCACAGCCATCAGCCCCCTACCAACCCCCACCAACTTCACCCACCAGAAGCTCCACATTCCCCGTCAATCAAGCGCCGGGGGTGAGTTGTATTTGTGATATTTGCTAAAAAAAAAGACAGATGAAGAAAGATAAGAATGGGGAGGGAGAGCGAGAGAACTGTTAACAAAGAAACATTGTTCTTTTTTTTTTCGCCCCCCAGGCCCCGTTGTGGGTCGTTTGACCTGTGCCCGGGTGGGCTAATTCCCGTAAAAACAAAACAAAAAACAACAACAATGCTTCAAAGATAGAAATTTTCACAATAGTCCATTGGCTGGGAGGGTGTTCGTGTGCATCAACTGTACCCTAATGTTCTCTTCACATTCTATCACTATAGTCAATGGAATCTATTCGTCTGCGCAGATGTTAGTAAGTCACATATCAGGTGAGCAGGTAGTGTCATGCTAGTGTGGTTGATGGCTGTTCAACAGTAGTTCTAGACGCTATATTTCCATACATATTTTGGCTTCCACTGTAGGAGCAGACTCTTGTTAAGTATTACCAGTAGTCTATACTCTAACAGGTTGTGACTACACCAGCAAAGTGGGAACGAAATGCGCAGCTGAGAGCAAGCCCTGAAAAGTTCCTGATTTTTTTCTTTTTTAATAAACTCTGATGATTCAAACCTGGAAAAGTTGATTGCAGTAAGTGAGGAATATCTTACACAGGTGTTGAAGAATGGAACCAAATGCAAAACCAAGGATCTACTAAGGAATCATATATACTGTCATGCCATAACTTAGCAACTTGAATTACGTTAAAGATGAATATAATAATGAGGGCACATATGGCACAAAAAAAACAAATTGGCAACTCAGCACAACTTTGTCCCTAATATTTATCACTTAAAATTGATGTTACTTCAATACACGACAAACAATGTTAAATGCAAAATTTACAAACACAATAAGGACGAAATTGTGTGTCATGGGTTCAATCACAGCCCTTGGAATGTCAAGCAAAACTACAGTTAGCGGTGTTTACATAACGTGTGTAAACAACTGGCTGGTAAATGATCCCTTTGACTCACGAATCGCTCTCAACTGGCTGTGCCATTATCTATATATTACTTAACTAACTATCTAGCATACTTGACGTATTGTAAGTGTGAAGCAAAGCATACAATTACTACAAATGAGCAATGTATTCAGTGTTTATAGAAATACCTACTACTGAGAGAGAGAGTTGCATCATACTGCGACACTCGGACTAGACATAACCTCCGCGGGGTGTTTAATACGGCTATAACCTGTGAACAACCTTTGACCTCTACACGTCATTGAATATTGAATGTTCACAATTATACATCCATGGCTGTAAGTTATTAATTACACACACACACACACACACACACACACACACACACACACTCGCGCGCAGCATACCTCCAGCACGTAAAATACATTCACGAGTTATATACAATATACCTCCAGCACGTAAAATACATTCACGAGTTATATACAATATACCTCCAGCGTACCTTACCTAACTTTACCTTACCTTTCCTTAGCTCACTTAATCAACCTAAAATATTCTTATCTAACCTAACCAAACCAATATACTAAGGGTTCCTAATAATCCCTAAATACATTTGTTCTTATAATTTTTTTGCTAATAATATGTAACGTAAAATTTATTTTACAAAAAATTACTTAAATTCCAATAGGTGAAGTTTTTATTATTAAAATTAATATAGCTAAGGCTAATTTCTTTAATATAACTTTCTCCTTAATTTACTAAATGATAATTATTCTATATGATAATAATAATAATAAATATAATAATAATAATAACTATTATTATTATACCAACCGTTAATTTTATTTTTGCAGTCAACAGTTCAGAGAATTTTAAGGCACTTTTCTTTTATGCCGTTTCTCTCGCAAATAACATACTGTATTATTATTGTTATAATTATTGTCATTGTTATTATTAGCCCTATAATTAAAGTAATACTCAGTCTCTTTAATGCTAGTATAACACCTTTAAACTCGTTCAAAGTCATTAAAGTCCCGCATTTAAACTCATTCCTGAAACGTTATTTACGCCCATTTTCTTTGTTACGATAAGAGAAAATTGAAGTTATTGGTGGGAAGACTTCTTTATATTTTGATATGGGTTGTAGGAAAACGCAATTATTTTACTTCAGTGTATTCTGTTTTATATTATCCTTTTCGTCACTGATCTGTGTGTTAACTGTTTGGGGAGGTCGGACACGTCTCTGTTAGGCACTGTTGGCTCTGTGGGCATGTAGTGGCTCTGTTTCGCACTGTTACAAGCAGGATCTTTCCATGGTGGGTGCAGGAAAGCAAGACAAGACCTGATATATTAGTTTATTCAGAACAGGTATATACATCCATATAAAAGTATGATAAAGTATAATCGAGTTACTTTCAAGTGCTGTATGATCAACAATATCACTTACCAGAGTTATCCCCAAATTTATTATTAATCACTAAAATTACCAGAGACGTAACCGACTGCCCAAGCGGCGAAGAGGATAAATGATAACAGTAAAATGTAAAGAAATGTTTTCTTAAGGATTTCCATCAAGTCTTGTACTGCTTTTTCTTTATCTGATTCCTCTTAAACAATTTCCTATAGGTTAATTTTCTTTAGTTTGGCTCCATGGTTGAAGTCACAGTATTCCTACTTAACTACTTTCTCTCGACTGTCAAAGATTGTGTGCCATCTTAGTCTTAGTATGTACCGTGTAGTAGTCGCTGGTCGGGGTTAGTTTCTTACAATAATGCAGTACACTTTTAGATCAACAACGAGTTAGAGGGTTGGGTGGTTCGGTATCACTTGTCGATTCGGGGATCATATGAGTTGCTTTATTTAATGATTTGTATTCATTTAAAACTTAAAATAAGCCACTGTTTGAACCCGGGATTGTCTGAGATTATAGATAGATAGATATTAAGTAAAAGCGTACAGTATATAGACGGTAACTGATTGTGAAGATTTAATAAAATGTAAATGGAGTTGCCATGAAATGAGAAAAAAATTACCACAACAGATTTTCTACCTAGGATATCCAAGTCTGTCCGGTGAAGGAAGAATGACCCTGTACTCAGCTCTCATTGTCACTTGGACTATCATGGTACTCCGCCTTAACTGAAAGCCTAAAAGCCACTATAAATTATTCAAAACGAGATAATGAGATTCAACTTGATTATGCATACCAGTAACCGCATTGATCTCGAGGTTCTGAACACACTGGATATCCTAACTATGGCAGACAGAATTAAAGTACATATTAGAAAGGTAAAACGGTCTTGTAAGCTTTAGCAGTATAAATATTAAGGGGATCTCAGCTCTGTATTCACTGCCTAAAACAAATTATAGTGAAAGGTGTTTAACGTATCAAATGCAATCTAATTATCAATAGTATACAATGCATTATAACTAGTATATACTAACTTTATAATAATCTTTAAATGACTGTAAAATCATTGATTACGCAAAAGACTGCAAAATGAATATCAATTGTCGAGCTAATAAATACCTCAGCGGAACTATTAATTAATGGTATCTAAATGGGGATAACTACTCAACTTATTATGATTGTTTCCGTGTAGTTTACTTTAAGTGTGTGAGAATAGAATGAATATTATATATTAGAGGCTGGGTCAGACAGCCTCCAGCGGCGGCGTTGGTCTCCTGCCTCACGAGCCTCAGCTATCGAGCAATCTGCCCCACTACCAACCGTACGATTATTCTGGAAAATGCCACATATTATTAAAACAACTTTGATATACGAATTAACGGGCCATCAGAGATAATTATTACATCTAGAAATTATATTATCATCATTTTATGGATTAAAATAATGATATCAGAATGAGTTAGGATACAAAAAGTGCGTCATATGGTAATACGACAGTTTGGGCAAGCTGGAGTCGAGGATCTTTGGCATATTAGTCTTCAGTTTGACAGGTTAGCTTGAACGGCCGGGTACTACACTAAGTCCATCTTGTGAGGAAACACGGTGTAATCTGTACACTAGAATAAATATAATACATACATTACAAAGTGCCTTGGTCAGTCAGAGGAGTGTCCAATTACGCGTATAACTTACGAAAGTGTGTCTTTAAAGTGTCCACCAGTAAACGAAAAATATACTAAGTCAGTTTTAAGTGGAGCGGAGGAGAGGTAGGCCTATACTGAACCTATGTAAATTAGAGTCAGTATGGGCTTATTGATCTGGTACGAGGAGCGGTGTGTATAGTATAGAGTGGCAGCATTGTGTAAGGTAAAGAAAGCATCAACTGCAGCCATCATGGTGGGCGACACAGGCTTCAACGCCAACATGAAAGGGGTAAGATAATGCTGTTTTGTTTGTGGTCTAAACTTGATCCTGTGTAAGGGATGTTGTTTATATTGTTTGTATGTTTAAGGACGTGTTTGTAGTGTATGTTTAAAGTAGTGTATGTTTAAAGGACGTGTTTGTAGTTTGTGACTTCCAAAAAAAAAACATGCTTCTTTTCGAGTGTTTGTCGCTGTATAAAGTAAGTATTTGTAGTGTGTCTGTGAATGTAAAATCTATGTTTGTTAGTGTTTGTTTGGGTCTCACACACACACACACACACACACACACACACACACACACACACACTCACTTAGGGATTCTGAAAGGTCCAGTTTTAACTCATTATAGAGGTACCATAAGAAATTATCTGATCTTAAAACAAAACACAAAATGACTTCCATAATTCGCTGAAAATACCTTAGACATACTAACACAAATACCTAAGACGAAAATTATCACTTAATATCTGTGAATACGAACCTTAGATCTCCATTCCCAGAGCATCATCATCATCATTCACATTATGATTCAACACCACGACTCTACTTGGGGGCCCGGGGAGAAGGGTGGGTGTTAGGTTAAATTAGGGTGTCTAATATTGAGGTGATAAATGTATTTGATATGTAATCACGCTAACTAAT